GCTTTCCCAGACAGCATCCAAGCCACAGCTTTCCCAGACAGCACCTAGCCAATAACTGACCATGCTGATCCACAAGCACATGAGCATCTGTGCCCAATGTCTGGCTCCCCTAACAGCAGCATCCCTGCCCACTTTAATCTTTCTTCTAATATGGGATTCCAAAGGACTCAAACTGACACATTTTTGATTAAAGTCCAAACATGGTTTTCAAAGCATTGCAAGCAGGGCATCTGATACCACCCCCAGGAGTCTCTCTGTTCTTGTGCTTCACAAAGATTCAGCCACTGCGTCCCCTGAACCCTAAACATGCCAGGCTTCTCGTACAAATTCCCAACCTAGCGTCTGCACAACCGTCGCCCTTGACCAGCTCTTCTGATCCCCACATCCAATATGGAAAATCTGTATTCACTGTCTCATTACCAGTCTGGCCTCCATTGTTTCTGCCCCAGCTTTGTCCAGGTAGGATTGAAATGAAAAAGGAAAGATGAGCATGTAAGCATGTACCCAGAGTGCCAGCAGCTCTGGAGTCTGAGATGCTGGGATCGTTTGAGCCCAGAAGTTTGAGCCTGGACAACATAGCAAGACCCCATTGCAGATAAGTAAATATGAAAGTAGATTCTAAAAATGGGACCGGACACATAGTTGGGAGATGGCAGGGCTGAAAATATGGATGTGTTTACCAAATGAAGAGTTGAATGAGTTTGCCCACTGAGATCTTTGTGAACTCTTGGAATAGCCTGCAAGTTTTTTAAAAGAATAAAAATTAAAGCCAGACATGGTGGCATACACCTATAATCCCAGCGGCTAGGGAAGCTGAGGCAGGAGGATCATGAGTTCAAAGCCAGCCTCAGCAACAGTGAGGCGCTAAGCAACTCAGTGAGACCCTGCCTCTAAATAAAAAGTACAAAATAGGGCTGGGGATGTGGCTCGGTGGTCGAGTGCCCCTGAGTTCAATCCCCGGTACCAAAATAATAATAATAATAATAATAGGGAGTAAATGTCTTAGGGAAATGCAAGTTTAGACAGAAGTGCAAAGCAGAGGAGGACGGTTCATTTACTGAATCCATGCTGGGTGGCATCTGCTCGACTTATATTGTCACTAATTCTCCAAGTAACTCTATGGGGTAGAGATGCCCTCCAGTTTACAGGTAAGAAAAGAGATTCAGAAAAGGGAATTGATTTTGCTAAATGATGCCTAGCAAGTTCAAAAAGTGATACATGTGGAGTCCCAGATAACTCCCAGCAAAAACATCTTCCTGTTCCCCACCTGGGGAGCAGGGCCCATGAGAGGGGCTCAGGGCGGGCCCTGAGGACTCACTCACCACTCAATCTCTTTAGGATCACGGTCCCTCAGCAGGTCTTGCACCTCCTTCCGGCAGCGCTCCTGGTATTCCGGGTGCCTTGCCATGTTGAACAGGGCCCAGGAGAGACCACTGGCCGTGGTGTCATGGCCTGAGGGGCAGTCAGGCAGCCTTGGGCCTCTGGGCTGCTTCAGCACCAGAGGGTGGACAGCGCCCAAGCATTGAGGTCCTGGGAAGGGTGGGGAAAGGGGAGGAGGGACAGAATGCCATGACCCCACCCCCTCTGTACGGCCACATTGGTCCCTCACCTCCAAACATAAAGGTGTCAGCCTCCGCTCGTATGTCCTCATCTGACAACTTCTTCCCATTTTCATCCTGGACACAGGGCAAGACCCTCAAATCAGACCAAGTCTGACAGCACCTGGGTCTAAGCAGGGTCCGTCTCTTGTCATCTGCAGAGCCTGACCTAGTTCTTCCCCCCGTGTTTCCTGCCTCTGTGCTCCTCAGAGGCAGCCTTCTACAGCGTGACCTCCAGCACTTATCTCTGACTGGTCTCTCCTTTCCTCAAGCACCTTCCATGGCTCCCCACCACCGTCTCAATCCCATTCAACTTCTGTCTAATATTTACCATCACGGTCCACGCTACCTCTTGAATTCAAGTCTCAGGGAAGCCCACCTTGGACAGCAGGAGCAAATCAATAAAGTCCACAGTCTTAGACTTGGCCTTGGCCTCGAGGAAGTCATCAACATCCTGGGCAGCCAGAGTGCAGCGCCGCTCCTGGATGACAGCATCTGTGAAGTCGTGCACCAGGTCGCACGCCCTGCGGAAGCGGCGCCCATCAGGAGTGAGGTAGTACAGGAAGTCCCAGTACAGGAAGATCTGGTGGTGCCGTTTGGTTACGAGGGCACTGAGCTCCAAGATGGCGGCAATATATTCACTGGGCTGCCTGCAGGGCCAGGACAGAGGGGAAGCAGCTCCTTAGCACACAGGGAGCACCTCCCAGCCAGGGTCCCAGGGCCACAAACCATCCAGAAAGGCATGCTGCCAAGCGCACTCCTCTGCGCCACTCTCTCTGAGCTGGCTCGAATCCCAGGTGTCCAGGGCAGAGCATGGGCCTGATGCTTATCTCCTCGCTCTCTCACTCAACATCTGCTCCTGCCCATTCTTCCTTGGTTTCTCCTAAATCTGCCCCATTTTCTCCACCAAGACCTCCTCCTCTCTAGGTTTCCTTGCACCCTGTGTCTATGCGACAGTCAGTCTTCCAGGGAATCAAACATCCAAGTTCAGTCGACCATGACTCTCCCCTGCTCCCACACCTTCCATGGCTCCCTGGGAGCCCCAGGATAAAGTTCACACCCCTTTGCCTGGCTACTCAGTGCCCTCAAGATCTAACCACTCCTTCCCTCCAACCTCATTTCCAAGGGGTATCCTCACTACTCTTGCACATGCTCTGCTGTGAGCCCACTTGCCATTACTCACACAAGCCTGCTACCTGGAAAGACTACCATCTCTTCCCCTCCCTGTCCTTCAGTGCCCAGTTCTGACCCACCCCTTCCAGAAGCTTCCACTGATTCCTCTGGTCAGTCCTTCCTCCTCCACCAATTTCCCAGGCCTTGGGCAAGAACTCACTCCTGACAATTGCTGTCGAAGCTGAAGACGCATTTCTGCAGACTGTCCAAGGTCATGAGGCTGATGTGCTCAAACATGTCCAGACGGGTGCTGCCCTCTGAGATCAGTCGTTGCCACTTGGCCTGGCCAGAGAAGGGAACAGGGCTGGGGCTTGGCCTTGGCTCCCAGAGCCCTTGCTCAACTACTGCTACCAGGATGGACTCCCCAGAACCAGCCTTCTGGTCCTGTGCCTGAGGCTCCCAAACCCAGAAGGGACCAGGTTTGGTGGGAGCAGAAACTGTTTCTAGTAGGAGCTGAAGACTCAGGTGGGAATCAGGAGACCTGAGCTCAAGTCCAGCTCTGCCTCCCATGCTCCATGCACCTGGGCAACTCACTGCCCTCCCCCAGGTCAGTAACCTGCCAAATCTTCAGCAACATTTAGATAAGTTTACCTGGTTCGATGTCACATAAACCAGGCTAGAATGCCTGCTCACTTACTGCTGGGTAAACTTAGACAAAGCTCCTTAATCTCTCTGACCTTTTTTGGTTTCATCATTCAGTGTGGCAATCATAATCCTCTCTACCTCAGAGGATTGTGAAAATCACGTTAGCACAGGGTTTCTGGATATAGTCAGTGCGGGGTAAGTGTGGGCTAGCGTTATCATCTTCATTAGCATAATGAAGAATTCGGAAATGTTGCAAAATTTATTTATTTATTTTTAGTACCAGAGATTGAGCCCAGGCATGCTTAAACAGTGAGTCACACCCTCAGTCCTTTTTTTTTGAGACAGGGTCACACTAACTTCCTTACAGCCTCACTAAGTTGCTGGCTTTGAACTCATGATCCTCCTCCCTCAGCCTCCTGAGTTACTGGGATTACAGATGTGCACTACCACACCCAGCTTTCCCTAAAATTTCTGAACACGGCCCTTCCCTGCTTAAGACACGCTACCGTCCAAAAAGCTCAGTCTTAGCCTTTGAGACTTTGTAGCTTCTTCCATTAGGAGGTAGAGACTTTTTTTTTTTCCATCTCTTGAACCTAAGCTGGATTTGAGACTTGCTTTGGCCCATAGAGTATGTTCAAAGCCAGCCTCAGCAACTTAGTGAGGCCCTAAAACAACTTAGCAAGACCATGTCTCAAGGGGCTGGGGCTGTGGCTCCGTGGCTGAGCACTCCTGGGTTCAATCTCCAGCACACACACAAAAAATCATGTGCTAGTTCTAAAACTAAGCATAGAGAGGGACTGAATGTTTCTTCTCTCTCTCTCTCTCTCTCTCTCTCTCTCTCTCTCTCTTTCTCAACCCGGTCTCTGCCATGCTAGCAAGCCCAGGCTTGGTAGATAAGAAACAAATAGAAGAGTCCCATTGGACCACTAAAGCCAATGAGTTTTAAAATAGTAGACTGTGCAGGAAGAACTACTGTATACAGCATTACTGTGTTGAGTTTCTAGGGCTTCTGTGAGGGACACTAGAAATAATGCCTTATAAGCACCCACTATGTGCCAGGATCATAGCTCTGTGACAGCATCTTGACCTCATCTTAAGTAGAGGTTATTACTCCCAATTTACAGATGAGGAAACCAAGACTTGGAGAGAAAAAGCTATAGCCCCAAATCTACCAGCAGAAACAGGTCTGCAGACCACCAGATCTGTTGGAAGCCACTGCCCCTTTCTAGCTGGGCCCTGGGTTCAAGGAACTCACATGCATGATGTCCACACTCTGGTTGAAAATCTTCATGTAGGGCTTCAGGATGTTGAAGTGGAAGGCAGGTGTCAGCAGGCGCCGGCGGTGGCTCCACTTGTCACCGGCACTCAGCAAGAGCCCATCCCCTGGTAGAGCAGCCATGGGCAGTAGGCAAGGCAACACCATCCCCTGGCCCCCCAGGTTGTCCCCAATCCCTTTCACCTGCAGTTACTCACCCAGCCAGGGTCTCAGGTAGCCATAGAAAGCCATTTCCTTGGGTACGACCATAGCTGGCAAAAGTGAGCATCGTCAGGGCCCACGGAGTGAGGGAGGGTGGAGATTCCCAGCCAAGGGTCTGCACTTCCCTCCTCTGAGCCCAGAACAGCAGGAAGAGAGCCAAGAGCATAGGAATCAGGAAAGAGTGAGGAACTAGGGGCACCAGACCAGGCTGCAGAAGCAGAGGTTCAGCACCCTCCAGCAGGCCTGGACGGAACGCCTCCGTGATCTCTCTCACTCAAGAATGGCCAGGCATTCTACAACACACCTTTCCAGGGACTAGAACACCTGTCTCAGCTCTCTCTGACATCTCCTGACATGCTGGGGACATATGTCATGGATACAACATGTGTTACCATGACCCAGCACGACACAACATACATGATCTGCCCTGACATGATACAACATGGTCTGAAACAGAGTCTAAGACAGTCTGACATGAACCAAATGTGACCTACATATGATCCCCAGGCAAGATTTAAATGTGGTCCCATTAACATTCCAGATGTGACACAGGGATGACCCAGACTGTCCCAGTGTCCTCCTCTACTCCACACTAAGCACTAAGTGTTAGGGCTCCTAGAAGGACCAGAGGATCCACCTCCCTGGTCAGAGGCTGAGCTTAGGAACCCTTCCATCAGAGGCAGCTGAGACATACCAGCGTGCACAGAACTAAGGAGGAGGCCTTGGTGTGCCGGGTGAACTTGAGACGTCATAGCACCTCCCTGAGCCCCAGTTTCCTTATCTAGGAACTGCCTGTCTTTCAGCTAGTCGATAAACGTCTTCCGTTTCAGCTGCTGGACCCTTTCTCATGGAACCAGCACCTCACACCTTCCCCAGCCTTAATCCAAGGAGCTGAGAGGTGGTTCCACCATCCAGAGCTGAGCTAGGCCTCCACCATCAAGTCACAGTGACTAAGTGAAGCCGCCGGGTTCTTCACTCAAATGAGGCAAATTTAAGAGAATCCTGGAACTACAGGGAATTTTCCCCAGGACTTGAGATCCTAGGACTCCTCTTTAGCAGCATAAGAGTGAAGCCATCCCAGGAGGAAGCAGAACTGAGACGAAGACTCTTGCTGGTACTGTTTGAAGAACTGAACCCAGCTCATCTGAAGACATTCTCCTGCCCTTTACTGTGAATAGATCCCCTTTCTTTGCTTAGACCGCCCCGAGTTGAGTTTCCATCACTCACAACTGAAAAAGATCCGAGCCCCAGAGACAGCCAAGACCCTGTCCAGAGTCACTTGGCAGTTATAGGCAGAGCCATGGTCTTTGTTGGATATCACCCCTTCCCCAGCTCAGCCTGGCCTATCCAGAGGTGGGAAGGGCTGGGAACAGGAACAGGGAAAAGAGGCCGGGGGTCAGGACGGGGAGAGATACCTGGGGCCTGGAGCAGGGGAGCAGCGAACTTAGGGTGGACAAGCCGCAGGACGGGGTAGAGGGGCCCGACCCACCAGAGGTGGACATCACGGAAGCAGTGGCCCAGCTCCTCCACCAGCCGCATGCCTTCTTCATTGTTCTGTGCCTGGGGAAGGAGAAGGCTGAGGCCAGTCCTGCCAGGGGACTTGGATTCCACCACAGCCCCACCTCTCACCCCTTCCACCTCAATTGTTCATGTCTGTCTCTGTTTCTGTATCTCTATCCATGTGTCTCTGAACCCTCCCTCTCTTTTTCTAGACAGGTATACAGATGATGAATGAATGGATGGACGGTTGATGGATGATGGATAGATAGATAGAGTGATATATTGTGAATAGATGATAGATAGGTATGATAAATGGTGAAGGCGTTCCTACACCCGCTGTCTGACAGGGTCACAGCATGGGGGATGCTGCGGCAGGGCCACACCATCTGGAAACTGGAACCATTAGGAATGTTAAGTGTTTTGTTTATGGTCCTCATGATATGGATAACAGGGCATATGTCAATCAATAATAAAAGTACAGTCCGTATTGCCTGAGATTGCAGGAAAAGTCCCAGAATGAGATGAAGGATACAATTGAGACATGAGGTGCATTTCAGTGTCTCTCAGGATACACACAATGGTGTTATTCCTCAAGCCTAAACAGCAGAAATATTTATCCCACGGTTAACAATTTACACTATCCCCCCATCAACCCCATCTGAAAGCCACAACCTTACAACAGCCCAGCTACAGAAAAACAATTGCTGTGCCCACAGTACCAGGACCACCGTGTAGCTTATGGTATCCCCTCGAGGACAAGAGGCTGATAAAAATACATTCCCCAACCAATAGACCCTCCTTTGCCTTATGCAGAAACTTATGATGGAAATGGAAAACACATAGTTAATATAAACGACAAATGAGTTGAGGTGTAAATCCTACCCTTTAGTTAAAGATTACAAAGACATAAGAATTGGTGTGCTTTGATCAAGGATCAAGGAAGTTCTTTAAGAAAGCGGTTGAATAAGTCATATGAAAAAAGGGAATTACCTTGGAAAATAAAATAGAATAATGTAAAATTAACATGGTGTAGAGGCACTTTAGAGTAGTAGGCTTTTAAATAATAGACTTTCACTACTTTAAGTGTGTTTTACTGGGATTTTAGTTTAGAAGTAAGAAAGCTTACCAATAATCATAAGTATGCTTTAAAGTTAAAGGTTAATGAAATAATTATAGGTATGCTTTAAAGTTAGAAGTGGATAATAGGTCATGTAGTCTAGTTGCGTCCCCTAGCACCTAGTGATTGATGTGAAAACGTAAAAGCTTAATCATGATTGTCTGAGGTTACAGAAGAATATTTTGAACAATGTACTCAATATCTTAGGTAATCAATATATGTCCGAAAGATTGTAATTCTTGAAAATTATGTAAATCAAAAAAGTTTCGGGCTTTGAAGCTATCCATTAACTACCTGAGAAAACACCTGTAAAAAGGTATAAAGATAAAGGTCCCTCTAGGGGCAGAGAGATGTCTTCTGGAGGTTGCTCTATCTACTCTTCTTCTTTTGTCGATGCCACTCCTCCTTCAGGACCACCCTGGGCCCTCTCTCCACCACCCACTCCCCCGCCGGGGCTGGACCTCAGCAATAAAAGAGACACAAAGATGGATACATAGATTAGTGATCGATGTGATGCATTGTAGACAGATAGGGATACAGAGATGAACATACAGATGATTGACAGTTGGAGAAATGATAAATTAAATATAGATAAGATAGATACATAGAGGATTGCTAGATAATGACACATTATAGGCAGGTAAGATGAATAGATAATATATTGAATAGATTAAAGATAAATAAGTAGCTAACAGAGGTAGAGATTAAATAGATAGATACTTGTGTCTGCATTTGTTTCTTTACTCCAGTTTATCTGTCCTTCTGTGTGTTTTTCCATCTTTTCTCCTCTTTCTGTCTCGGTTCTGCCTCCCTGCCCCCTCCATGTATATGTGCGTCTCTGTCTCTATGTCTCTGATTATTCTTATCTCAACTCTCCTTATCTCTCTCTCTCTCTCTGTCCTCCCCACCAACACCTTACGATTCACCCCCATTCATTGTGGACTCATAGCTATTTCACTCCATCCAACTTTCTCCCTTGTCCCCAAACCCCAGCACAGCCTCTTGCTACTAGCTCTGGTTCCTCCCCAGCTTGGCAGAAAACAAGTTTAGAAGCGGTTCTAATTTAGTCCCCAGCTCAGGAGAGATGTGAACTTGGAACTCACTTCAGGAGGGAACTGATGGTCAACTTAGGAGCTGGACCCCTGGCCAAGGAGGTGGCTTCAGGAGAGAGAGAGGAGGAGGAGAATTTGAGATCCCAGAGAATCCCATATGAAAAGCCTGGGGAAACAGCTGGAGGGAGATAGAGGGGCCACAGGGAGCTCAGGGGACACCAGGGGAAGGTGTCATCCAGGAACCAAGAGAAGAGGAGGTCCCTGGGCATGGGACAGTTAGCATAGCAGAGAACTTGTGGGAGATGGATGGGATGGGGCTGGAGATGGCCATGGGATTTAGGGAAACTGGAGGTCCTGAGGGTGGTAGGGGTGGGGACCAGATGAGGAGTGAGCAGGGAAAAGGAGGCCATGGACAAAGGTGAGCCTTCGTCCTTGAGGCTGATCAAGGAGATGGGAGGTTTGGTGCAGAGTGAATCTCATTAGAGGTGAGTGGATAGGGATCTACATGGAACCTAACTGTCCAGTTCTGTGACCTTCTCCAGCATCATTGTGGAGAAGACATCAGAGAACATGGTTGGCTGAGTTTATCCAAAGCAATTTTTTTTTCCAAATATCCCAAACAGCAAGAGACTTCAGCTTGTAAGTCATGTTAGGAACTGAGCTAGAGGTGGTCGAGGAAGGAGGATTGGAAAGAAGTTGTTGGACTAGGATGCAGAGGAGATGTAAGTTCTGAGGGTGATGAGAGGAGGTGAACAAGAAAGCTGGAAGGAGAGTTGTAGTGAGAGGCGGCCACACATCATCAGTGGCACTGGAGGTGATGCTCCAGCAAGTAACAGCAAAGCCAAGGTATGATTCTGGAAATAGCGGATGCACACAGCACAAAGCAAAGGCCTCTGGGAATGAGGCCCAGGATGGTGAGTGAGGAGCCCCATCCCAGCAGGCGTAGCCACCATGGCAGAGGCCACAGTAATTCTTTCTGGAAAAGAAAGTGGCTGGGTGCTGCTCAGTGACAGAGGATTCACGGATTCATGGAGCGTGTGTGCAGCCCTGGAAAGAAAGGAAGGAAGGGAGAGAGAGGTGAGAGAGGGGGAAAGTGGCCAACTTAGGTCCATTGATACATCTTGGGGGTGGAGGGCAGGATAAGAAAAGAGAAGTTCCTGAGAAGTTGGAGTGGGAAGAGAAACTGCTGGCCCAGCTGTGTCCCTGTGGGGATGTGGGTGGGTGGGGAGGTGGGTCACAGCTCATTCGTGCAGAGAACTGGCAGCCCTGAGGCCAACAGAGATGGGCCAGGCAGGAAGTAGACCCTGGATAAAGCCCCACGGAGGCCACAAATCCAAGGGTGGAGACTGTGGACTGGCTGGGGAGGGGGGGTCCCAGCTCTGTGCAGTCTTCCCCGGGAGCCCCCCAAGCAGGACAGGATGCACTAATGGGAGGAAGGCTGTAACCCGTCACCCAAAGCAGTGGGGTAGGGAAGGGAAAGAGAGAGAAAGGGCTCAGGGCAGGAGGGGGACAGAGAAGAGGGAAGGCATCCGGTGGGGCAGAGGAAAAAGAGGTTACCCACAGTCTCCCTCACTTCTCCGAGTCCACTCCCCCCTCTCAGAAAGTCCGCCCACTCTGGTGGTCCAGACGCAGTATGCCACACTCACCAGGCCTAGGTGACCCCAAAACCAGTTCCGTCTGGGGGGCTGTGGGAAGCATCGGAGGCGGTAGCAGTTGTCATAGAAAGTGTAGATCTTGGTCAGGATGCGGGCCAGCAACCAGGAGGCCCCGGCCAACAGCAGGAGTTGCCAAGGAGAGGCTGCCCAGGGCCCCAGTCCCAGCCAGGACAGGCTCAGCTGCGGCATCCTGCAGGGAAGATGGGACAGAGGGTGAGCTACGGAGGCCCTGGAAAGGGACAGGAAAGTCCAGGGACACTGGACAGGGGTGGAGACTTTGAGACTGGGGGTAGGACTGAGAGAGGGAAGACCCAGGGTAATCCAGAGAAGAGGCAGTGAGAAAGGAGAAGAGAGGGAGGGAGAGCCGAGGGGAGAGAGAGAGAGAGAGAGAGAGTCTGTTCAAAGCCCAGAGGGGCTCAACCTGAATCATGGGGAAGTGGCCAGGGACTCGGTTACCCAGACACCAGGCCCACACGCTCCCTGGAGCCTCCCCAGCCTTGGGTGTCACCGTCCCCATTCCGGGCCAAGGCCTCCCTCTCCCACCCCTGCCTGGCACCTTCTATCAGGAGTAGCCTGTCCCCACAATCTCCTGTCCCCTCCTCTGGGACCTCTTTGTCCCTGGCTCTCGACCTGTAGGAGGCTGCAGGAAGCTGGCCTGGGCAGGGCTGAGCCAGCCAATCCCCACAGGCTTGACTGCCTCCTCCCTGCCTGGGAAGGCAGCCAGGACACGGGGGAGGAGCCAGCTGGGTGCAGGGAAAGCCACCTCAGGGTCACAGGCATGGGTGGATCCTCAGGATTTCGTGCCTTCTGCCTGATTTAGGGGCAAAGGTAACTCTGGGCCCCCAGGTTGATAGCAGCCTCTGCCTCTCGAAGCCCAAGGGATGGCAGGCAAAAGCCATGAGCTTGAGAGTTTGGGTGGCCCGAAACCAGGGCCAGGTTCCTGGCTCCTTGAGCTTCTCTGCACCATCTCCCAGGGCAGAAGGAGGAGGCTCAGAGATGGAGACCTGTGCTCACCAGAGGCACAGCCTGGCTAGAGTACAAGTCCTGCCTCTAGCCAGCCCAGGACTTTGATTGAGACATGACTTCAAGGAGCAGGAACAAAGAATCCAATTTATCTGGGTCAGATTCTGGAGATAAAGAGCCGAGCTGGAAAAGCACATCTGTAGGCTCAGCTTTGGAGGTCAGAGGACAGAGGGACATGTAAGGCTCAGAGGGACCATGAGTGAAAGGGGTCCAGGCTGCCCTGGTGGAGTCCTCGTTCTGTCATGGGAAATGCTACTCCTCTCTGGGCTCAGTTTTACCATCTGGGATATGGGATGTTGGGTTTTGTTTGAGGTCTCCCTGAGTTGCCCAGGCTGACCTCCAACTTGCAATCCTCCTGCCTCAGCCTCCTGAGTAACAGCTTGTTCCACTGCATGCACAGCAGGATGTTGGCCTTAAAGAAGGTACGTCCTGTCCAGAAACTGTCCGGAATTCCCCTTTATGGTAGTCTTGGCTCCTCTGAGACCTCCCCTTAGTCAGGCTCCAAATGAGAGTGAGTTTGGAGGGTGGAGCTGTTGAGGGAGAGAGAGAACGATGATCAAGATTCCCCCAGCAATTGACCAAATGTTGGGGAGATACCTACACTTGCCCTCCTGCTCCCCATGTGCCCTCTAGCCCTTGCTGACCCAGCTTCAGGTCCTGAAGGACTCAGAGCCCTTTGCAACTTGGGGTGTGCTGCCCCCAGATTCTCCCTTCTCTGTGGAGGAATATCCATCCACCTGGTGGTAGGTCCCTCCAGAGAAGAGCCAGGTGGAGGGGAAAGCAGCAGAGTTGAGCAGCTAGGTCTGGGGAGGCGCAGGAGGGAAGGAGAGAAAACAGAAGTCACTTCCTTCAGCCACACAGTTAAGTAGTGAGGCAGGTCAGCTAAGCAGTTGAAAGTGAGTCCTGGCACGCAGGAGGTGCTCATTAAGTATTTAGGAACAAAGAACTCCCGCAGTCGGGAGGTCTAAGAACCCGCCACCCACACTGTGACTGCTAGGACAGCAGTATCGGCTTTACCAGTTGCACTTTGGAAATGCAGAATCCCAAAGTCTAACCCAGACCCTCAAATGGGTGCAAATTCTTTGTCATTGTCCCCAATGGAAGGTTGAGCTAATTTCCTTTCCCTTGAGTCTGGACTGGGCTGGGGCTCCTGAACCAATAGATAGCTGTGGAGGTGATGACATGTCGCTTATGTTGTGGAGAATTAGAGTAAAACTTGCTAGAGAGTGACTGCTGGCTGAGGGGCTGGTTGGAACTCAGTGATCAGGAAGGACCCCCAGGAGGTGGCCTTTGAGCAGAAACCTGAATGAAATGGGCCAGGGGTGAGGCAGAGCATCATGGCAGGGGGCTCATGGCAGAGCTCACTTCTTGGTGACCAGGAAGCAGAGAAAGAGAAAAGGGCTGGGTTGCAATGTCCCCTTCAAGGGCACCCCCCCCACCCCACAATGACCTAAATTCTTTCTGCTGGGCCCCACCTCCTACAGGCTCCACCATCTCCCAATAGGGTCATCAGCTGAGGACCAAGCCTTCAAATATGGCTTTAGGGGACATTTAAGATCTAAACCATGACAGGTAAGTAGATAGATAGACAGACAGATGGATAATAGGTCCTACTCGTTTTGAGTCTAATTCCATTCTCCTTGAATCCTACTTGGGCATAACTGAGAACCCCAGTCAATTGCAAGCCACTAGAGTGATCCATCTTCAAAGTGCCTCTTTTTTTTTTTTGGTGGGGGTGGGGAGGTACCAAGGATTGAACTCAAGGGCACTCAACCACTGAACCACATCCCCAGACCTATTTTGTATTTTATTTAGAAATAAGATCTCACTGAGTTGCTTAGTGCCTCCCTTTTGCAGAGTCTGGCTTTGAATTCGTGACCCTCCTGCCTCAGTCTCCCAAGCTGCTGGGCCAAGTGGCTCTTTCAGCCTCAGACCAGTTGCCCCAGCTGGTACTCAGGAGAAAGTATCAGTTGAGAAAGCTGTCCCTGCTCACCCTGACCAAATTGTACATTTCAGCATTACCAACAGATTTCTACACTTACAACTTTTTAAAATATATATATATCAAAACCAGGTAAGAAAGAAACAGGAGAAATGATTAAAATGCCTACAGCATTCCCTGGCACATGTTCAGCACCAAGCAATAAGGACACAGACAACAGCTCTGTACTTTGGATTTTTCTGGAACATGCATCAGGGACTTGGCTGGCTGTGAACATTCCTTGTTCATTCCTGTGACAAGGAGGAGATGCTCTGGAGAAGGGGGGGGCAAGTGAGAGACTTGGGGTGAGACAGCTCAAAGTCAAAGCTGAACTCTGCCACTTGCCAGCTGTGTGACCTTCGTGTAATGGTTAATTTGACTTGTCGATTTGATTGGATTAAGAGATGCCAAGGATTAAGAGGATTATGGGTGGGTTGATGAGGAAATGATTGGCATGTGGAATAGCCAACTGAAATGGAGACCCTCCCTAAGCCTGAGAAGCACCGACCAATAGGATGATGGCTTGATGGAATAAAAATTGGAAAAACAAAAAAGCAGCAGCAGGTGCAAGCTCGGTTCTTCTTGAAGGGGTTCTTGGTTGCTACTGTAATCATCTGAGGATGTTGGATTCTCACTTCTTCACTCTTCCAAAGCGGACTCTGACTGATTCTCCAGAAGGCTTAGACCTCAGTCTAGGGTAGCACCATTGATTCCTTTTATTCTGGGGCTTCAGCCTCCTGGACTGTGCAGCTACTGGTCCTTCCAGCTCTCCAGCCTGCAGATGGCCATTGTGGACTATCCAGCTTCTGGTTGCGTAAGTCCCCTTTTTGTAATTACACTTCCTGCTTCTCTAGAGAACCCTGACTAATACACTTGGGCAAGTGACTTACCCTATCTGAGCCTCATATTCCTTGTCCATGAAGAGGCAACAAGAATAGCCCAAGGGACCCAGGCACCCACATGTAACCCAGCTACTTGGGAAGCTGAGGCAGGAGAACTGCAAGGTCTAGGCCAACCTCAGCAATTTAGTGATATCCTAATTAAAAAAAAATTTTTTTAAAAAAGGTCTGGGGATGTTGCTCAGTGGTAGAGCACCCCTGGGTTTAATTCCCAGCACCAAAAATAAAGAATAGGCCTGAGAGGGCAGGAGGAGCCCAGGCAACATGTGTGTCTTATTTTGGATTCCCCAGAAGCAGACTCTGACAGAAGGGTTCAAGTGCAAATACTTTATTCAGAGGTGACCTCAAGACAAGAATTCAACTGCAAGTTGTCTCTGTGGGAGATGATCCCAAGAAACACAAAGTGGGGTGGAAAGAGAAGGAAGCAGTTAAAGGGACCTTAATATAGGACGTTTCCACTATGGGTGACAGGGCTCAGTCCTGCTGGGGAGCTCCAGGAGGTAGACAGTACCTGAGTGACCTCACCCAAAGCAAGGGAGCTGGGATCTTTATCCACCCTTATCCATCCACCAGTATTCAGCACAGTGTGTCTCCAGAATGTTCTGCCTGCACTGCAAGGGTCAGGACTGGGCACAGGCAGGGCTCTCTCAGCGGCTTCCAGCCATGATAAGAGCCTGGTGAGGACACAGTTGTTCAGTGGGTAGTTCTCTCACCTCTGCTCTCAACACACACCCACATGCACACACACTGGCACACACACAAATACACCTAGATACACACATACATGCATTTTCATACACACATACATACATATGCACACACAGTCGTCTAAATGCATACACAGTCACGCGGCACACAGTGCACATGCAAACGTTGAATTAGTAGAGAATTAATTCCTTGGAGCCTGTTGTTTTGGAACTGGCCAGCAGAGGGAGCTTCGTTCCCGCTTAAAAGAAGAAGGAGAGTCCGCAGCAGCCAGTAAGGAGACCCAGCCTGGTTGTATTATTAGAATTACACAAGCAGGTGTAGCCAAGTCCCCGGGACTCAGTGGTTCCACATCTTTCCTCCTCCCTCCCAATGAAGTCGATTCCCCCTCGCAGCTCTTAGTGGGTGTTCATTACAGGTACAATGATCCTGTAAGATCCACATGACAAGGGAAAACTGAGTTCAGAGAGAGGCAGTCATGTGCTCATGGCCTCTGCCAAGAAGGGGCAGAGAAGGAAGTATTGGCTCTCAAGACCAAAGTATCTTGCTGGCAAGATGACAGGGTTGCTTCAAAGGAGGCCAAGGGATGTTTGGCAGACGTCGCAAGCTTGAAAATCCTCCATCAGAACAGGGTTGTGGGAGCCGCAGCAGCAGCAAGGGCCAAATAGCTCCAGCAGGAACAGGGCAGGGTGCAGGGACCACACACTGCCATTCAATCCCAGAGTACCCCAGAAAGGGGGTTCCGGGCCACAACCCCAGAACTTGCTGCCAGCAGGACACCTCAGGCCACTGCCTCCAGCATTGACAGCCCGGGCCCTGTTGACACCAGCTTCTAAGCAGAAAGACTGGAGGCCTAAGCAGGGACCAGGACTCTGAGGGATGGGGCAGAAAAGGACTCAGGATCCCTGCTGAGACCCCAACATAGGGTATTTTTAGGACTTTGAGTGAGTTGCTTCCCTCTGGGGTATCAGTTTTCACCTCTGTTAAGTGAAACAATAAAGTGATCTCAGCAATCAGTATGAGGATTAAATGAGAACATAGGAAGAGCACACAGGATCAAGCGATCCATTTCAGTCTCACCACTGCTAACTCTGGAGACATGCTTCCTTAATGCCTCCTCCATGCATCTCTCTCTCTCTCTCTCTCTCTCTCTCTCTCTCTCTCTCTCTCACACACACACACACACACACACACACACACACACAAATTCCACCCAGCCTTGGTTCTTTAGAGACTGAGACTTCCAAAATATGCAACTCCCAAACATGAATCTCCCAAGTTCAAGAACCATCTAGCCAACCACCTGTTTGACATCTCCAACTCCTCCCAGCCAAAACTGATATCCTGAGCTCATACTCAAAGAAACAACTTACTCCACTCGCGTTCCCTCATGTCAGTTGGTGGCAGTTCCCTGTATCCAGGGGCTCAAGTCCAAACCTGGACCACCCCCCCATCCACACTGCTTCTCCCAAACTCTACATTCTATTAACAAAATTAACGAGTGTACAAACTGTCCCCCCAAAAGCTGAGTTGACGTCCTAGGATAAATGACTTCCCAGCCTCCTACCCTTCACACAGCTTCCCTCAGTTGCTTCCCAACTGCCCAGAGCCCCTCCTTCCCATCCTGGGCTCCAGGTGTAAGGGTCTGGCAGGCTAGGGGATTGAGGGTAGGAGGAGGTGTTTGCAAACCTTTCTTTTTATTCTTTAAAAATTAGAACCCTCAGCAAAAGGCCTTTGAGTAAAGAGGTAGGAAGGGGCTTGTAAGCATCTGGGCTTACAATAAACACAAGAAAACAGCCCGATTTCTGGGATGACTCCTGAACAGACCGCCCAAATGAGATGGGAGGGGTCTAAGAAAGTGATGTCCAGGTTCAGGGTCTGACCCCAGGTTCCAACTTCCAAGTCCTCAATTTAGAAGCCAGCCTGGGGAGGCAGGTCTTAAGTCCTCAGAAGGCTCAGTGGGCGGGGCCTGGGAACGTTGATCCGCAGGGGCGTGGCCTGAGAAACTCAATCCATCATACTCCGGGGGCTGGGCCTGAGCCCGAGGGGGCGGGGCCGAAGCTGGTCCCTCTAGCAGGAGGGCAGGTACGGGAACTCAAGGGGCGGGACCTGGACCTCAAGGGGCGGGATCAGACCCTCGTGGGTGGAGCCCTGCCTTGAGGGGCATGGCCAGCACCAACTGGTTGGTCAAAGGCGGAGCCTGATCCTCCAGTCACAGAGCCAAGACTTCGAGGGGCGTGGTCTATGACCTCAGGACCTGGGGCGGGGCCTGATTCCTCAGGGGCGGGGCCTGGGCCTCAGCCCGGGGGACTCAGGCCCGCGGAGGCAGCGGCTCCACGTTGAGCCAGATGCCATTCTCCGTGCGCAAGATGAGCTCGGGCTTCCTCCGCACTTTCCGCGTTCGGTCCACGCTCAGGCGGAAGCGTAGCAGCGTCAACGCCACCGCCACGCGCATTTCTGCCATGGCGAAGCTCTGTCCGATGCAGTTCCTGGAGAAAGGGGGGCATGGGCTCAGGCGCCGCCGCTGTCTGTGCGGGGGGTCCCTGGGCCTCACATGACTCTTCTCTAAAATAGGGAGAGCATCTTAGGCTAAATGAGGGTTAATGAGACCCCAAGAATTGCTGAATAAATGTGACTTTGGGGTCGAGTGTTAGAATCCTGGTGCAGCCTCGTACTAGCTTTGTGTTCCCCATAAATGACCTCTGAGCTTTAACTCCTGCATCTGTAAAGTGGAGACAGTGGCAGCCTAGAGCTGTTGGAAATGTGAGCCCAGAACTCAGGTTCTGGTACACAGTAGGTATGCCCAGCCCCAGGAACGCTGTTGCAGAGTCTGATTTGAGAGTCTCTTGCTTCACTGGGGGTACAGAGAGGACCTGGGTTGGTGAAAGGGACACCTCGGTGGGGCGTGGCCTGTGCTTCTGATGGGCACACACTTGAACTTCCATTGGCTCTGTATCTTCCCCATGTGGCTTACCTGGGTCCTGCAGAAAAGGGCACAAAGGCCAGCGGAGAGCGCTGCTGGGGATTGTCTGGGTCAAAGCGGTAAGGGTTGTACACCTAGACAGGAACAGACGGGGGTGAGTCTGGGAGCTGGCCCAGCCTTTCTAGCTTGGCCCCCTGGCTCAACCTCTGGGGGCCAGAGGCACTTCAGGACCTCCTCTTCCATTCAACCCCACACTCACTACAGTCCAGCCACACCTGCCTCCTGATGCAGGAGTGCAAGGCTTAGGGCCAGGTTAGGGCAGGAGCTCACCTTAGAGTCAGGCCACACGGTAGGGTTGTGGTGGGTTCCATAGATGCTGACCAAACAGATGATTCCTGTGGCGACAGGGTGGGATCAGTGAGGCCAAAGGGAAACAGGGCCTCCTCGGGAAACATCCCCCTTCCCAGCTCTACCTGGAGCCATGGTGTTCTCTGAACCATCTGCTACCACTTCCTGTCCATCCTTCCCTGAAAAACCCTGCTGCCCTATCCACCACAACCCCGCCTCTCCCTAAGAAGCCACCATTGTCTTTCTGGTTGACGCACTGGCCCCACACGGCACACACGGAGCTTTCTCTCAAATACAGCATCATTCCTCCTCAGCTCAGCTTCCTCCCTTGGCTCCTCACTGCCCTCAGAATGACGTTCAAGTGCCTGCACCTGCCGTTCAAGATTCTACAGTCTGCACCCTGAGGCTCTGCTCCATGAGCATACATGTTCTTTCATTTCCAGCCTCCAAGACTGTCCTTCCTCCTCCAAGAAGCACTCCTGATATACCTCCCTAGGTGGAGACATCCCTCCACATTTGGGCTTCGCTGGCCTCCTCTCTCCCTTTAGCCCATCCGTGAGCCCATGTGGCTGGGAATGTGTGTGCCCTGCCGTTGCTCTCTGCAGACTGGGAGAGATCCTCAAGGCCTGGGCCTGGGGATGAGGCATCTTTAGATGCCCAGCATCAACCAGGAAAGGTCTCCAGGTGACGGCTGGTGACTGAATGAAACACCTTCCCCTACTTGCACCCTCCTAGGGCCAACCCTGCCACACCAGCTCTTTTCTTTCCAACAGGACTCACCCACCTGTATCTCCCCCATTCACAACTAGGCTTCCCCCTGGCACCCCAGAAACCCAGAGGGGACACAGCTGCCACATCCACAGGGACAATGCACCTGGGGCAGGAATGGCCAGGCCCCTATGGGCAACAAAGTAGCCACATAATGGGACAGTGCACCAACATGGAGGGGCACACAGTGGGCACCTTTGGGAATGACACGCCCATCTGGAAGCTTGATGTCCTCTGTGCAGCGACGGGAGACAAGGGTCACAGGTGGGAACTGACGCAGGCTCTCCTTGATGCACATAGTGGTGAATGGCAGCTGGGTCAGGTCATCCCTGGAGAGAATGAGAGAATGGAACTGTGACTCTCCCAAACACACACACACATACACACACACACACATGAGCAGCTGGGCAGGAAAACAATTCAGGGAGTCAAAGCTGCCCAACTTCTGCTATTTGCAGTTGTCCCACTAACACTTAGGATGCAAAGTATCTGACCACCAACCAATCAGAAAAGTAACCAATAAAAACAGCAAGCCAGGTGTAGTGGCACACACCTGTAATCACAGCAACTTGGGAGATGGCGGCAGGAGGATTGTAAGTTTGAGGCAAGCCTCAGCAATCGAGTGAGACCTTGTCTCAAAATATAAACAGGAAAGGGTTGGTATGTAGCTCAGTGGTAGAGTACCCCTGAGACTGGGTTCACCAGTCTCTCTCTCTCTCTCTCTCTCTCTCTCTCTCTCTCTCACACACACACACACACACACACACACACACACACACACACACAGATAGCAAGCACTGGGGCTGGTTTCTGGGGGTCCCTACTGGGCCCAGCATTAATGCTTCAATGATGGGTTACGTGGTGGTCAGGGGCCACTCAGGGAGGTACCAGCATAACTAGAGAGGCTCAGGGCAACAGCAATTGATTTGCTTGTATGGATCCATTTAAGTAAGTACGTATGTATGTGTGTATGTACAGAGACAGGGTCTCACTGTGTTACCCAGGCTGACCTGAACTCCTGGATTCAAGTGATCCTCCTACCTCAGCCTCCCAGCAGCTGGGACTATAGGCATGCACTACTGTACCCAACTATTTCATAATTTTAAAATCCTAGATGAAAGGAATAACAAAACCATGTGTACCAAAGGTTACTGCATAATCCAAATAGAGGGCTTTAGGTTAAACTGTGTCCATGAAAGAAAAAAAAAAAAAGACATGTTGAAGTCCCAGCCCCTAGCGCCTCCAAATGTAACTTATTTGGAAAGCAGTTTGTGTGAGGGTTAATGCTTCTGGACTTGGCACTGAGAAGAATATGCCCCAGGATAGCCACTGATTCGGTGAGAATGAGGAGACCTACGGAACAGACCTGAACCAACTCTCTAACCTCAGAAGCCACAAGAGTGATGTACTGATGAGCAATAATTAAATGCTTGCTGGGGCTGTGGTTATAACTCAGTGGGTAGAGTATGTGCCTAGCATGTGTCAGGCACTGGGTTCAATCCTTAGTGCCACATAAAAATAAATAAATAAAAGTATTCTGTCTATCCACACCAAAAAAAAATTTAAATACAATAACATTTTTTAAATTTAATAAATAAATGCTTTCTGAAAATCACTGCGTGTGAGGGATGTTCGTTCTGCAGCATTGTTGCAAAAATTGCTGACTAAGACTATTGCAGCCTGAGGCAGACATAGGCATCATTATCATCCCCATGTTATAGCTGAAGAAATTGGGATTCAGGAAGCTCAAGTGACTTGTCTAAGGTCACACAATCAATCAGTAGTGGAGGAGAGAGTCACACTCAAGGCTCTGGCCTCAGCATGCCCCTTCAGCTGCCTGACCTCACCTGCCGCCCCCCCCCCCACAACACACACAAAACTGACCACTCCAGTTCCTCCAGCTCCCGGCCTTTCATGACTTCTTGGATCTCTTCCCGGCACTTCTCCTGGTATTCTGGGTACTTTGCCAAGTTGAACAGCACCCAAGAGAGCCCACTGGATGTTGTGTCGTGACCTGCAGGCAGATGAGGAGTTTGAATGGAGGCTGCCATCTCCAGGCAGACAATAGTGTTCACTTCAGTGTCCCCTAAAGGGACAATCGTGGCCTTTCCCACCCTCCTTCAGTTCCACTCCACATCCTCACCCTCAAACATGAAGGTGTCTGCCTCAGCTCGGATGTCCTCATCTGACAGTTCCTTTCCATCTTCATCCTGGAATGGGTAGAACCGGATGCTCAGGCCCCTGCATCCCACCCTCTGCCTCCTAGAGGCTCCTCCAGCTTTAGATCTGTCCCTTCTCTCTTAAGTGAAGTTGTGAGGAGAAATAATCTAGATGGAAGGAGATATGCTACTTGTATAAGAAAGATGGAGAGAAAGTGAAAGATGGAGAAGGAAGTTCATACAGCTGTGCACTATTTAATGATAGGAACCCAGAATGAAGTGCATTGTGAGTCAATTTCATGATGGTGCAAACATCGGAGTGCACTTATGCAAACGAAGATGGCTATGATGTCACTGGAGGATAAAATCTATGGAAACACCATCACACGTGTGGTCCATCACCAACCAAACATCATCATGAAGCACGTGGCTGACTTATTGAGGAGCTACTAACATGATGTATTCCAAAGGCTGCCCCACAATAACTCTGTCTTCAGGTCTTAGAATCACCATGGTTTTACTGAGGAAACTGATGTTCAGAGAAAAGAGTGATATGATTCAGGTTAAATATCCACTCAGTGGTAGAGACAGGGGTGGAATCCAGGACTCTCTGGATCCAGAACCCAAATGCTGCTCAGAAATTCTATAGAAGGGCTGGGGATATAGCTCAGTGGCAGAGTGCTTGCTTAGCATGCATGAGACCCCAAGTTCCATCTCCAGCACTGCAAAAAAAAAAAAAAAAATCCACAGTGACCCTACATCTTCTGTCACATGTCTTCAAGGTCATGTATTTCGTCTTTGTAAAGGTTTTGGACTGAATTGTGCCCTGTCCCCTAGAATTTGTAAGTCCTAACTCCTAGCATCTCAGAATGTGACCACGATTGGAGGGAGGGTCTTTGTGAAGGTGAGCAAGTGAAAATGAGGTCATAAAGGTGGCCTTAATCCAATGTGGCTGGTGTTCTTATAAGAAAAGATTAGGAGGCTGGGGCTGGGGCTCCGTGGTGGAGCCTAGCACAGGTGAGGCACTGGGTTCAATCCTCAACACCACATAAAAAGTAAATAAATAAAGTTATAAAAAACATACTAAAGAGGCTGTGGCTGTGGCTCATCTGTAGAGCACTCGTCTAACATGTGTGAGGCCCGAGGTTTGATCCTCAGCACCACATAAATAAAATAAAGGTATTGTGTCCACCTACAACTAAAATTTTTTTAAAATATATTTTTTAAAAAAAGAAAAGAAAAGATTAAGACAGACACACGCAGGGGGGAGATGATATGCAGACACAAGAAAGTGGCCATCCCCAAGCCAAAGAAAGATGCCTGCAGTAGACCATTCCCTCACGGCCCCTAAGAAAACTCAACCTTGCAGGCACGCTAGGTTTCTAGCTTCCAGAACTGTAAGAGAACACATTTCTGTTGCTCAAGCCACCTCCTCTGAGGCAGAGGCATCCCTTGGTATCCACAGAGCACTAGTTCTGGGACATCCCCCCATGGATACCAAAATCCATGGATGCTCAAGTCCCTTATATGAAATGGCATGGGGCTGAGGGTGTGGCTCAGTGGCAGAACACTTGCCTAGTATGCAGAAGGCCCTGGGTTCAATTCCCAGATCATCAAAAAAGTAATTAAATTAAATTAGAAATCAAATAAATTATATGGCATAGTATTTACACGTAACCTACGCAAAACCTCCCATACTTACACTTTAGGTGACTTAGAATTCCTAATACAATGTATACAGCTATTGTACTATGATAGTGAATAATGACAAGAAAAAAGGCCTGTACATACTCAATACAGATGCAGTTCTTTTCAATTGTTATCAACCTGAGGTTGGTTGACTCTGCCCATGTGGAACTTGTGGATATGGAGGGAGGACCCACCATCCACAATCTTTACAAGCACATAATGAACCTTCCACAGGACAGCCCACCTCAAAGGTGCCCCCCCACCCTGTAATCCCAGCTACCCAGGAGGCTGAGGCAGGAGGATGGCAAGTTCGAGGCCAGCCTGGACAACTTAGCAAGACCCTGTCTCAAAATAACGTCAAATAATAGGATGTTGCTCAGAGGTAAGTGCAACAAAACAAAACCCAGTACCACAAAACCAAACCTCAGTTTGTTTCAAAGGACCGAAATGTGTGTTACAGCAGCCGGAGCAGACACGCAGTGGGTCTCACTCACATGCCCACATCTGACTCCATCCTAGAGTTTGGGCATTTGTCATTTTACACACTCGGTGCGGTTCCGGGGAAGTCCCGGCTCCAGGGCCCGGCCTCACCCTGGCCAGCAGCAGCACATCGATGAAGTCCAAGGTCTTGCCCTGCTTGGCCTTCAGCCAGGCCTCGGCCCCCTGGCGGCGCAGCGCGCGCCTCCGCTCCTGGATGACTTCGGTGGTGAAGCGGTGCACGGTGTCGCAGGCCTGGCGGAAGCGCCGCCCGTCGGCTGTGCGGTAGTAGATGAAGTCGAGGTGGTGATGCAGGCGGTACTGGCGCCTGACGACCAGCGCGCTCAGCTCAATGATGGCCGATATGTAATCGCTCATCTTCCTGCCGGGGAGAAGACCGTGAGCCAGGGGCACAGCTTGGCTGGGTCAGGCCTCCTCTCTCCAGCGAGCGATGACAAGGGAGGCCCCATATCACCTGTATTTTCTGTAGATTTTGTATGCGTGTCTGTGTGTGTGTGTGTGTGTGTGTGTGTGTGTGTGTGTGCGTGTTAGTTTTGGCACTACTGGGGATAGAACCCAGGGCCTGGGGCATGCTAGGCAATCTCGGTCACTGAGCCCAGGGGGCTGGGGAGCCCCCATGATGAATCTCTGGTGAATTAATGAATGAACTAACAAACCAGGGTAATGGCTATTTCATTAGGTCATTCAACAGATAGTCATTGAGCACCTCCCCTTTGCCAGGGCACTGTGACATCATTTTATCCTGCCAGCACCTCCCCAAGATTCAGATATTATCATCTTTGTTTTACAAATAAGAAAAGGAGGGACACTTTCCAAGGACTCCACGTTCTTTGCGGAGGAATGAGGGAACGGAGCATCACCTGATCCCCTATTACATGCCAAAAGCCACTGACAACCATGTAATTAAGACAGTTACACCATGACCATGGGGCGAAATTATAATGTCTCTTTTTTGGGGGGAAGGGAATTGAGGCTCAGAGAGGTGGTATCATTAAAAAAAAAAATAGGTGTAGAAGGACAGAGCACCTTTGTTTTGTTCATTTTTATGTGGTGCTGAGGATCAAACTCAGGGCCTCACACGTGCCAGGCGAGGGCTTTCCCCTGCCTAGACTCCAGCTCCAGTGATGTCATTTTTTTTTGGAACCAAACAGCCATCTGTCCAACAGTGGCAGATGCCAGCAGCCTGGGTTGCCCAAGAGCTGGGAGTTCCCTTTCTCCTCCCACTACCTCTCCCTGGGCAGCTGGCTCTGTCCCCCGAGGGAGGTCACACTCACTCCTGGCAGTCGCTGTTGTAACTGAACACGCATTTCTGAAGACTGTCCAGGGTCATGAGGCTGATGTGCTCAAACATGTCAAAGGAGGCCACGGAGCCTTCTGCCAGAGTCCTCCGCCATTTAGCCTGGAAGAGAGACAGGGCATGGGGACCTCAGACAGCACGCCACGGGTCATCACTCACCACACACCCGGGGTACAGCTCAAGGACTTGAGGTCTCCCGACAGCACGTGGCTCGCCCTGGAGCTGGGCTGGAGCAGTTGCCACCCCCTTCCCCTGTCGCCTGGAGACTCACGTGCATGATGTTGGTGCACTGGTTGAAGATCTTCATGTAGGGCTTCAGGATGTCGAAGTGGAAGGCAGGCGTCAGCAGGCGGCGGTGACGGCTCCACTTGTCGCCTTTGCTGAGCAGAAGCCCGTCCCCTGGGCCCAGGAGACTGAGGTCAAGGGGCTTCCCCTGCTCCTCTGACCCCCTCCAAGGAACCCCTTGCCCTGCCCTCTCCTCCCTGAAACCCCAGCGCCCCCCCCTACCGGCTCGGCACTCACCTAGCCAAGGTTTCAGGAAGCTATAGAAAAGGTCGTCCTTGGGAGCAATGGCAGCTGTACAGAGACAGGAGGCAAAGATGATTCAAGACAGAGTTCTGACCCTGACCTCTGCTTATGAATTCCTAGGGCCGCCTCTCCCACCTCCCACCTCACCTCTCCAGTCTACCCTTCACATCCAAACCAGAAAGATCCCTGTAACACACCGATCTGAACACGAAACCCCTGTTCATGTTACCTCCCACGATTCCCCATTGCCCTTATGAAAGAGTTCAAGCTCAGCCTAGTGCTGAAAGGCCCTGCCCCATGTGGCCTCCACATGCTTCTCACACATCAGATCATCCCCTTCTCATTGCACGCTGACATTCACCTCCAATGGAGTCACCCTCTAACCCTCCCCGCTCTTTCCTGCCAGCTCGGGCCATCCGGAATTATATCTCCTGGGTTTCCCACCTCCAGTCACACCCTCCCTGTCTGTCCATCACGCTGGCCCCGGGGGAATCTTACCTGACTATCAGATCTGACCAGGTCCCTCCCAGTTCACACACCCATCAACCCTCAAGTACCAGCAGCTCAGCCCATTTCCAAAGCCCTGGATGATCTGCCCTTGTGCAGACCTCTCTCAACACAGACACCTTTAGCTGCATGTGGTGGTGCACGCCTGGGATCCCAGGGACTGGGGAGGCTGAGGCAGGAGGATTGCAAGTTCAAGGCCCACCTCAACAACTTAAGGAGGCCCTGAGCAACTTAGAGACCCTGTCTCAAAAACTTTTAAAACTGGTGGGGGGGGGGTGTCACCCAGCCCCCTCCTGCTCAATATCACAGAACTTTTCCCAGCTCTTCAAAAAGGCCATGTGCCTGCTCCACTCCAAGTCTTTCCATGAGCTGCCACCTCATCCCCAAACACTCCGTCCTTATCCTCTGGTCTCAGATTGGGTGCTGCATTCTCTCTCTACAATCCCACTGGATGGTAAATGTTCAGTTCTAAGCCCTTCATGGGAAGAGACCATTTGGATCACTAACATTTGGTGCTGAAGAAATTTTTATTCAATGAAGAAATGAGCCCATCAATCAAAGAATGGGTGAATAAAAGAAAAATGGATTGGTGGAAAGATGTATGGGTGGTATGTGGATGGATGCATGGATAGCGACATCGCCCTTCTGTACAATGAAAAGATTTTGGGACTGAATGGAGAGTGGCCGAAAAAGGAAAGACCTGAGATGCAAATGCAGTCACTGAAGACTGGAATGACTCAGCTCCCGCCCCACACACGCGCCCTGCAGTTGGCCAATTGGTACACACAGTCATCGGTCACCTCATCCTCCCGTTTGACACACCCCTTCAGCTGCCGTTCCATGCCCAACCCACGATGTGTGACGCTGGGGACCCAAGGAGGGCTCAGCTCCACGCCCTGCCTGGAGGAGCTCTGCGGTGGTGTGGGAAAAAGGAAGCCGAGGCACACCGTGCCATTATCAAGAGGACAGAAAGTGTGGCTAAGGGTGCTAAGGGTGGCACAGAGAAAAGGGCTGTTAGAAGTCAGAGCAGGCTTCCCGGAGAGGCGGCGTTGGAGAGGAAGGTGGGAGTCCGGTTACGCCTCTCCTCCCTGGACTTTGAACTCCAGGTTAGGTGCCTGGTGGGGTTTGATTTGACACTCAGATCTGATCAATGGCTGCCCTGCTCAAAAACCTCCCATGGCTCCCTATTGATCAAGGGCAAGTTCATTTGCTTTTCAATCCAGCTGTTGCTTAACTCTCAATCTCATTTCCTACTTCCCACGCACACCAGCTGCACTCCAGCCAACCCAGTGACCTGAATGTTCCTGGTATTTTCCATAGCTGTACCTTGGGAATGTCAGGTGCCTCTAGTTGGCAAAGTCCTAGGCATCCTTCAAGGCCTGGTTTCACTGAAGCCTCCTCCAGGAAGCCTTCACCAATCCCTCTCCCCAGCGGAACCCTTGTTCTCCTGTCCTCAGATCCCTCTCCACTCCAACTCTATCCCCCAGGCCAAAAAAGTCTGCATCTGGGTCGTCTCCTCCCATCAGATTCCCTCTCCAGCAGAGTGGAGCCCTTAATGCCTCACTCAGGAGAAAAGCCCCCCACGTGGTGCCCAAGGCTACAGATCACCGTGGTTGAGAGCTTGATTTGGGTTCAAATCCCAGCCCTGCTACTCACTAACTGTCCAGGCTTGGATCTGTTACCACTCTGCCCCTTCCATCCCCTCATCTGCAGAAGGAGGAAACAGAACAATCTTGCCTCATGGCATCCTGTGACACTCAGCAAGCCAGTGTGTCCTGGCACCTGGTAGATGCTCATTAAATATGTGTGCGCGTAAATGAATAATTGACCCGCTGCTGGCTCTTTGGTTACTGCAATTATAATTATTGCTTATTGGCATCAAAAACTTGCGAGGTGGCTATCCAGGTCCCCTATTAGTGACAAATGAATGCACAGCTGGTGTGGAAGATCGCAAGGGCCTTCCTTAGAAAGTCAAATACACAGCTGGGGGGTGGCTGGGTGGTACTGTATGTGCTTAGCCTGTGTGAGGCCTTGGGTTCCAAAAAAAAAAAAAGGTCAAATATAGAATTACAAAAGACCGACCATTCCACTCCTAGGTATCCCAAAAGAAACGAAAACACAGAGGCTGGAGCTCGGGGTAGAGAGCTTGCCTGGCATGTGGGAGGCCCTGGGTTTAATCCCCATCACAGGAAGAAAGAAAAGGGGTGGGGGGAGGAAAGGAAAAAAAGAAAAGAGATGGAGGAAGGAAGAAGAGGGAATGCAGCCATACCAAGACCTGAGAGCAGAGACCCAGTGTGTGTGACTCCTTTTATATGACATTATAGACCAGATCAACGCAGGGACAGGAAGCAGGTGGGAGGTACCAGGAAACAGGCAGGGGGATGGATTACGGGATGAGGAACATCTTCTGACACTAGGGAGACCTGTGGTTGCACAACTCTGTGACCACATCAGATGCCACGGACTGTTCACTTTAAAATGGTTGATGGTGCGTCATGTGAATTTCACCCCAATTAAAAAAAAAAAAATGAGTGCATCCCAACAAGCTGTGCTGACGGGCTTCTAGATCATGACTTGCCCTCTGTAAAGCTTTCCACCTACTTTTGCCCATGAATAGTCCCTATTCCACGTGCCCAGAAGACTAGGAGGTGAAAGTTCCAAGAGGCGCCATCCGGGCCTTCCTTGGGGCCCAGGGACTGTGTAGGTTCAACCCCAGAGCAGCATCCCCCACCCCAGAGGAGGACCAAGGCTGTGAGCTGGAGGCAGGCCAGCTCAATCCCAGCAGGAAGGACAGAGGGACGGGAGCGCCTAGGCCAGGAGGCCCCCTCCATGCTGACAGCCTCACCCTCTCCTGTCGGGAGACCCCCATCTACTCCTCCGTTGCAGGAGGCAGTGGAGATCCTGCCTGTCTTGAAGGAGAGGAGAAGAGGGGAGGGAAAGGGGCCTGGGTGTCTATGAAGTGCGGGGACCATGCTGGGGCTCTACTTGGGGACTTAACTACCACTCAGAAGGTGCTCAGGACACTGATGTTCTAAGGAGTCAGATGAAGAAGGAAGAGGAGGAGGAGACGGAGGCAAAGGAGACAGAGGAAAGGCAGGGGGAGAGAGAGAAAGGGGGGAAGGAGGAAGGAAGTGGAGAGAGAGAAGAAGGAAAAGTACACTAAAAAGATAGACAGCCTGCCCAGTGGCGTGGGTCTGCCATTCCAGCTACTTAGGAGGCTGAGGCAGGAGGATCTCAAGTTCAAGGCCAAACTGGAGAATGTAGCAAGAGCCTGTCTCCAAATAAAATGAAAAGACTGAGAACAAAATGTCCCGAGGAGAGAGCTATGAGTCTCTAGAGTTGGGTGCTGAGGGATGAGAGAGATGAGGAACAGCTGGAGTCCCAGAGCTTGGGACAGGCGTGGACAGCAGCAAGGTGTGGCTTAGTGGTAGAGCAGTTGACCAGCATGTAAGAGGCATGGGGTGCGTTCCATCCCCAGCACTACAAAAAATAAAATAAAATATACTAAAGAGAAAAAGCCCTTATTCACGTCTACCCGTGTTACATATCATGCTGTGCTTTTGCGACACTGGGGGTGGAACCCAGGACCTCGTCGTGCTAGGTGAGCACTCCGCCACTGAGCTACACCCCGGTCCTCACATTAGTCAGTCTTAGTAACAGCCCCCCTTTGACAGATCAGAAACAGGCTCTGAGAGGCTTGCAAAACCACTAGCATCACACAGCAAATATGGGCAGAAGCCAGGATTTGGACCCAGCCCTTTGCGGCTTTGATTCAGGCTTCTGGCCACAAATGGGTGCCCAGGGCTTGGAAGAAAGAACCACTTCTCCCAGGGTCTAGGTTCCCCTGAAGTTCAGTGGGGATCATCCTTCCTTCCCAGATGCAATAAGCGGGGACCACGGGGCTGCGGAGGACACAGCTGGGGAAGGAAAGGCGGGCAGCCCTGCCCCTTTCACCACCCCTGGGAGGCAGCTTGGACGGCAATCTCCAGATGTGGGTTGGTAGAGGTCCAAACTGGGGCCAGAGACCCCCAAATTCTTGGGGATCTTTCCTTCACATCTCTCCATGCTCCAATGCCCCCTGATGCCCAGATCCAGGCGAGACTATGTCCCACCATGAGGCAGAAGAGCTGGACGTGGCCTCACCCAGCCCCCGTGGATCAAGACTGAGAACAAAACGTCCCGAGGAGAGAGCTCTGAGTCTCTGGAGTTGGGTGCTGAGGGATGAGAGAGAGGAGGGACAGCTGGAGTCCCAGAGCTTGGGACAGGCGTGGACCGCGGCAAGGAGACGCCAGCCTTCCACGTCTCCCTTCTTGCTAGTCAAGGCCAGCCCAGGTGGTGAAAGCAGGCTGAAGGATGGGCCACCAAGAAGCCAGTCATGGTGGGAGTGTCACAACTCAAACGATGGGTGTGTCCCGGGCTGGGATTGAGCAACGCCTGCTGAACAAAACCTGAAGAGAACAACTTCCTATCCAAACCTGCTTGGTTCTGACTTCCAGGGAGGTGGACAGCCTCTTAAAGTTACTGGGACTCTAGGCACTGTCACACTTCTGTCCCCGATGTTCCATAAACCATATTGCCATTGCTGCCTTGATGAACTCCTATTCATTCCTTAAAGCCCTATTCAAGTGCCCCTTCCTCGGGAGAGACCACCTGCCTAGAAGCCCAGAGAGAAAACGGGAGATGAGGTCTCAGTCAGCACTTAACCCAAGGGGCCCAGCCTGCCTACCTGAGGCGCCCACCAGGGGCTTGATGTAATCAGGGTGCACCAGAACCAAGAGCGGCAGGACGGGGCCGATCCACACCAGGACCACATGGTGCATGCTGTCCAACACCTTCTTCTCATCCTGAAGGCCGGTCTCGTTTGGAAGGTACTGCGGTAGGTGAAAGAGGGGAGTGAGGACATGCTCAGCCTCAGCCTCCTCCAGTCCTGCCCTCCCGCCACCTCCCTCACCTCAAAAATGAGCCCAGAAGTGCTAAATGACGGCGGTGGTGGCTGCACCTGGCTGAGCCTCCACCTCCTCCTCTGAAAAATGGAGAACACCAAGTCTCCCTCTGAGGGCAGCCCAGAGGGTCAGAGAAAGAAGTGAGAGCCACCATGGGGCCCCACACACGGCTGGCTCAGGAAATAAAAATAAGCCCCACGCGGCGGCAACACAGGCCTGCAGTACCGACAGCTTGGGAGGCTGAGGCAGGAGGATCCCTTGAGCCCAGGAGTTCAGAGGCCACCTGGGCAACATAGTGAGACCTCATCACAAAAACAGAAAGGAAAATAGTCATTGTAAACACATTAATGGTAAGTGTTGGCTTTTTTCAAATATTTGCTATATTATTAAAAATTACCACTAGGACCCTTGCACTGGGCACATGTCTGGATCCCAGCCACTTGGGAGGCTGAGGCAGGAGGATCTCAAGTTCAGTTCCAGCCTGGGCAACTTAGTAAGACCCTGTCTCAAAAAAGAAAAAAGGGGCTGGGGCTGTAGCTCAGTGACAGAGCGCTTGCCTAGCACGTGTGAGGTGCTGGGTTAGATACTTAGCATCACATAAAGACACACAAATGAAATGAAGGATGCTGTCCATCTACAACTGCAAAAAAAATTGAAAAAGAAAAAGGGCTGGGGCTGCAGCTCAGTGGTAAAGCATCCCAGGTTCAATTCTAGTACATACGTGTATTTGTATATATTTATGTAGACATTTACATTGTATTTGTATATGTATCCATAGATACATATGTATATATTTATTTATAGAAAAGTTTACTTATTAGAAGTTCAAAGCCAGGTGCAGTGATGCACCGCCTGTATTTCCAGTGGCTCCGGAGGCTGAGGCAGGAGGATCGCAGGTTCAAAGCCAGCCTCAGCAACCTAGCGAGGCTCTAACAAACTTAGTGAGACCCTGTTTTGAAACTTAAAAAAGGGCTGGGGATGTGGCTCTGTGGTTAAGCACCTTTGGGTTCAATCCTTGGTACCAAAAAAAAAAAAAAAAAAACTCACGTACACAGCAGTGCAAATACACTAACACTAACCCTATCAATAAAAGTAGGATTAACCCCACTTCATGTTTTTAATTGGAGTTTTTCCCACATCTTTATGGGTGCAGTATAGTTGTACATAGTGACAGGATTTGTTGTCACGTATTTGCACATGCACACCACATACACTATCACAATATAATTAGGCCTACTTTTTTTTTTTTTTTTTGGTGGTACCGGGGATTGAACTCAGGGGCACTTGACCACTGAGCCACATCCCCAGCCCAATTTGGTATTTTATTTAGAGTTTTGAAGACCAGAGGTGACACTAGGTATCCCACTGTCTCAGGCCTTAATTGTGTGCAAAGCTGCACCGTCAGCGACCCACCACTAATAATAACCACAGCCACTGCCACCGATCCCCCAGGCGGCTGGGGGGACTTGACAAACCCAGCTGTGAAAGCCCTCGCCCACCTCCACTGCCCACGGGGGAGGAGCAGGAGCCGACGCTGCACAGATGCCCCCTTCGCCCCCTTCGCCCCCCCACTTAGCCCCTTCACAGCTCGGACACCCTCTGCATTTATGAGGTTCAGCCTCAACTGTCAAACTACACGTGCGCACACGCTGCGCTGCTGAGTGATGCCTGCTCCACGTGGACCTCTGCACGGTTTATTCTTTTTTCCACTTGACCTTGTTCAGAAAGGTCAAAGGGCTCGTCTGGGGTTCCAAGTGAGTGGGCAACTGTCCTGGTGGGGCTCCCTCACAAGCTGGTGCTGGAACAAGGGTCCTGGGGACGCAGCTCACGTGGGAGGTGACCCTCCCAAACATGGGGAGACATGGGGAAGTGAGACCGGAGGGGACCGAGGGACGGGGACGGCAGCCAGCGCAGGGGAGCTGTCAAGCCACCCAAGGGGGAGGGCGCTGGAGTGGGTCTCCACCGGCGTCCATCAGTCCTTGGCTGCGGGCTGCTCCTGGGGGCACTAACTCCCAAAGCCCCTAGAATGCAGGGGCCAGCCCAAGTATGGACCATTGCACTCAGAGACATGGGCAGGTGTTGGCTTGTCCGTCACGGTGGCAAAGTCCGGGTCTAGAGAAGGTGGACAGCCCCGCTCTATACATTCTGGGAGGCAGCCCTTGAGGATCCGGTCAGATGGACCTGAGTTCAAATTCATCTTTAGCAGCTGTGTGGCCGTGGGCAAGTCAACTCAACCTCTCTGGGCTCACATCTATAAAAGTGAATCCATAAAACAGGGCAGATCCATCCCCGTTTTATAGACTGAGAAATCCAGGAAGGCTGGGCTGGGGCGGTGGCTCAGGGGTAGAGAGTTTGCCTAGCATGTGAGGCACTGCGTTTGATCCTCAGCACCATGTAAGAAAATAATAAAATGAAATAAAGGGACCGTGTCCATCTACAACTAAAAAGTATATTTAAAAAAAAAAGAAACAGGGGGGCTGGGACTCAGCAGTAATGCACTTGTCTGGCTCATGCGAGGCACTGGGTTCGATTCTCAGCACTGCATATAAACAAATAAAATGAAGGTCTATCAACAATTAAAAAAATTTTTTTAAATAAAAGGAAAGAAATAGGGAAAGGCTCTGATTCTAACAACCTAACCCAGTACCTGGCCAGTGATTGGTCCCAACGATTATTAAAGGAACAAATTAATCTCTTTGGTTCCAGCATCTCCTTCTCTACCAGGTTCAGCCCTCTGCCCATCGGCACCCAAGGCAAACCAGGCCTCACCCAGTCCTCATGGGCCTCATGGGCTCAGGACTCAGCTGCAAAGCCAGCCCTGGCCAACTGCCCAGGGCCCCAAAGGCTAGTCACCACTGGCTTTTGGACCACCATTGAAGCCAGAAAGGGCTTCCAGGAGCAAGGACATTGGACATGGGGTGTGAAGACCTAGGAGAAGTTTATCTAGCAGAGAACAGAGGGCATCATTCAGCAAAGGCTGTTGGAAGCTGGAGCCTTGGTACAGAAACAGGAAGCCAATCCTCAGGACTGGGGAGGATGGTGAAGCAGGTGAGAGGGTGTGGTCAGAGTTCTCCCAAGGGCACTAGGGAGCCATGGAGGGTATGTGAGCAGGAGAGGGTCGTGGTTTGATTCAAGAATCCCTCTGGAGGACTGGGGGCATGGGTCAGTGTAAAGCTCTTGCCTAAAAACTGTACAAGGCCCTGGGTTCAGTGCCCAGCACTGCAAAAGGCAAAAACAAAGAATACCTCTGGGGTCAGGATGGGAGACAAATTAGAGGACTGAGATGGAAAGCAGCTATACCGTGGCCCAGCTGGGGAGGATGGACAGGGCTGGGGCTGGGGGAAGGAAGGAGACTTAGGCACACACAGGCAAAACCTGATGGTTCCCAGGGGGGAAGAAGGGCTGGGAACCTCCTCCCTCCTAAGCCTTCCATCTGAGATAATTCTCACCATTAAACAAAATGTTCTTTGAGCTACTAAGTGCAAATATGTATCCCAGTCCTTCTTCCCAGACAGTCAATCCAAGCAGTGCCTAAAATTACTTCTAGAGTCCTTCGATGCTTCCGGTTTCTGCAGGACCCAGCAGCTGAGCAGACAATTCTGCCACAAGGCGCTTGCTAAAAGCCCAGATGAGTGTCAAGGGCACAAGCACAACCTGAGGAATCCAAACAACGACCATGAGGCTACCAAGAACTGTTAGAGCCCCCTGGAGCAAGGGGGGAAACTGAGGCATGGAGCAGTTAAATTGCCTGCTCCACAGAACCAGTACATGGTAGAAATGGGCCTCCAACCCAGGGCTCCAAAATCCACAATGATGACCATTGCTTATGCAAAGTCCACTCAAAGCCCAGCATGATGCCTGGACCAGGGGTCTCCAGAGACTGTTCCTGAATTTCACTGAGGCCTAGAAGTGGGGTCCAGGGGTCCAAGCAGCTGGGTCCTGGGACCCACAAACCTCCCTGCTCTCAGGATCTGGGTTTCTCTCCTGACTTCTGTAGGCTTTTTGGAAAAACCCTGCCTGTCTCATCCATAGCAGGGACAGTGAAGCCAAGCAGCCTGAGTTTGAACCCTGGCTCTGTCACATGCTTACTGGGTACCTCTTTGTACCTTAGTATTCTTAGGTACAAAATAATAATAGAGTCCTGAGACCTAACTTCTAGGATTGTCAAGAGGGCTGAAGGAGTTAATATTTGCCTAGAATAATACTCGGAATATGTTCATGAAATAAAAATTGAAACACAAGGAATGGTAAAAGGCTAGAATGGTGACCTGGGATCAGAGCACTTGAGGGAGAGAGTGAAGCCACATTGGGATGTAGATAGAGGAAACAACAAAATCCATAGGCGCCTCCTTCCCCACTCCTGCTCCCACCCCTGCATCCCCCACTTTACAAGGAAGGGTACCTAGTGCTACAGCAGTAGCTACAGAATTATAGAAAGAACTCGTCAGCTCTGCCTCATCCCAACTGTGTGACCTCGGGTCACCAGGGGTGGCCCTGCAGGCGTCAAGGCTTGAAGGCATCCAGATGAGGCTAAATGCTTGCCGCCTCTGAGCTCCAGTGGATGCACTCATAAGGGCAATGGGGAGCCATGGAGGGTATGTGACCAGAGCCCTGGAGGCCAGCAGAGCCACCACCTGGCTGAATCCCCGGGCGTGCCCAGCTCTGCCGGCCGTACTCACCATACCCAGGTGGCCCAGCAGCCAGTTGCGCCGCGGCGGCTGGGGGAAGCAGCGCAGCCGGCGGCAGGTGACGTAGAAGCCCCAGCAGAGGCGCCAGAGCTGCAGCAGCAGGCGGAAGAGGAAGAAGAGGCCGGAGAGCAGGAGCGCGGAGACGGCGTACACGCGGAACGCGGTCCTCTCCAGCCCCAGGAGCTGCAGGAGTTGGTCGGTGATGGGCAGCATCTAGGGGTGGAGAGTCGGAGCTGGTGGGGCCACGCCCCTGCTACACCAGGCCACCCACCAGATGGCCAAGGGGTCAAGCGAGGTGTGCTCAAGTCCTGACACCAAGACCCCTCTGCATCCCCAGCCACGACACCCCCAGCAGTCTCCAAATGGCACTCAGCCCCATCCGGATGCCTTCAAGCCTTGACGCCTGCAGGGTCACCCCTGGTGACCTCTGCCCCATAGAGCTCTCTGCCCCTGTCCGTCTGATCAGAATCCTGGAAGGAGCGGCTCTCAACCATGGCGGATGCACATTGGTGGATAAATACCCCGGCTCCTCTGTCCCGGCTTCCCCAGCAGGACTAAACTCCAGCTGCCCACTGCAGAAACTTTCTCTGTTGGCTGCCTCTCTGCCCCTGTCTTACCTCCCTCTCCCTCTTTTTTTTATTCCCCAATTAAGTGAAATTCACATAAGACAAAATAAATCATTTTAAAGTGAGCCATCCACACAATGGAATATTATTCAGCCATAAAGAAAGAACAATATCCTACAATAGAATCCTATTGTAGAGGGAGCAACAAAAAAATCGGCAGCCAAATAGATGGAGCTGGAGAACATTATGTCAAGCAAAATAAGTCACTCAACCTGTTGATCGTTTATTACAGGGTCTCACTATGTTGTCCATACTGACCTTGAACTCCTGGACTCAAGCGATCCTTCTGCTTCGGCTTCCTGAGTAGCTGGGACTGCAACACCACACCTGGCAAGTGAAATAAATAAGACACAGAAAGATAGATGTGCATGTTTCCCTCATAGGTGGATATTTAAAAAGAAAGTCAGCTGGAATATGTAACCGTAATCATTAGAAGATGGAAAGCCGGGAAGGCAGAGAGGGAAATGGGTACCACCACACAGTTAGGTTGAAGGATTAACTTCTATCTACTATACATACACTAGAACTGGAAATTGAGCTGAGGGGCACACTACCACTGAGCTACATCCCAGGCCTTTTTATTTTGAGACAGGGTCTCAGTAAATTGCTGAGGCTGGCCTCAAATTCGCTATCTTCCTGCCTCAGCCTCCAAGTCACTGGGATTACTAGTGTGCATCACTGTGCCTAGCAACCTATTTTTAAAAAATATTTCCTAGTTGTCAATGAACCTTTAATTAATTAATTTATTTATTTATTTATGATGCTGAGGATCAAACCCAGGACCTCACACATGCCAGGCAAGTGCTCTACCATTGAGCCACAACCCCAGCGCTATTTTATATATTTTTTTTTATGAAGAACTAGAAGAGAATCATTCGAAGGCTCCAAACACAAAGAGATGAAAATATTGAGAGCCACAATCTAATTGGTGCATATCATATACACACACGGAAATATCGCACTGTACCCCATAAATATGTATGAAGATGATGTGTCAATCCATTTTTTGAACGTTTAAGGGGAGAGAGATGTTGACTACCTGCTCTGATCATTACACACTGTACACAGGTGTTGAATTTTGACCCTGCACCCCATAAACATGTGTAATTGAGACTTTTGAAAATTAGTTAAAAAGTTGACCACTCAGTGGCATTTAAGACATTCACAGGGTCGGGCAGCCATCAACTCTACCCAGTTCCAGAACATTCATCACACCAAAAAGGAACCCATGCCCCTTAGCACTGACTTCCCATCTTCCCTCCCTGAGACCCCTGGCAACAATTAACCTGCCTTCTGACCCGTGAATGTAACTATTCTGGATGTTTCATATAAAGGACTCACAGAGGATGTGGCCTTTGGTGTCTAATTTAATCCACTTGGCGTAGTGCTGTCAAGGCTCATCCACACCTTGCAAGACTCAGCGCTTCATTCCTGCACTGCTCAGTGATATTCCCCTGAATGGACAATGCCACATTTAAAAAAAAAATTGTAGATATAAGTGGACACCATGCCTTTACTTGTTTATTTTTATGCGGTGCTAAGGTGTGAACCCAGTGCCTCACACGTGATAGGCAGATGTTCTGCCCCTGAGCTACAGCCCCAGTCCTGGGCATGCCATGCTTTGTTAATTCATTCATCTGTTGGACAATCATTTGGACTGTCTCCACTTGGGGGCAACTGAGAAATATACAATGCTGAACATGTATGCACACATTTTTTTTTTTTTAGTACCTGTTTTCAATTCTTTGGGGTTCTTCGTCCTTACTGGTATTTTCTGCAGTGGCCTCTCAAAGACACAGTTGCCTTGGGGTAGCTCCTGGAGAAACCAAAACAAGAACATGAAGAAAACAGTGAGCAGCGATGAAGGGCTTCCTGGGTGCCAGGCGCCGTGATCAGGCTGCGAAACCCCTCCTCGTGGAATCTCACATGGGTCCTTCGAAATAGGTTCTACCCTTCTCTCCATTTTCCAAGCCCAGTTCCTGAAATTCAAAGGAGACAGGAGCTAGCCGAGGTTCCCTGAGCCCCTACTAGGGGCCAACGTCAATCACTCTCTCTTTAGGGACCACAATTCCCAGGTAACCCCAAGAAGGTTCTTGAAAATGGCTGGGTCCTGCCCTCTTCTCTTTTGCTCCCGATCCTACCACCCAAGAGATCCCATCTGCTTGGACAACACAGCTAGAGGAACCCTGGGCTTAGGTCCTCTCCTGGGTCCCTTGTCCCCACGTGCCCCACCTGTGATGCCCTCCCTCCATCAGGTCTCTTCTAGGAGTCGACACCAAACCGCATCAGAAGTGAAACTTCCCCTCATTATCACACCCTGGGAAAACAGCTGGGAGCTAGGCAAAGGCGGGTCATCCGCAAATTTGGAGAGCTCCGTTGGGAAGGGTGGTATGGCTGAAGCTCAGAACTACATGATCACGCATTAGGGTGGCTACTGTTTCCAGAAAAGCAGGGCTGGGGCAGAGCTCAGTGGTAGAGCACTTGCCTACCATGCCTGAGTCCTGGTCCCATCCCCTGCACAGTTAAAAGAAAAAAAAAAAAAACATAAAATAACACGTGTTGGAAAAGATATGGAGAAACTGGAATCTCAATGCACTATTGGTGGGAAGGTTAAAGGATGCAGCTGCTATGGAAAACATGAAGGCTATCTGTTTTAAAAATTAAGTATGGAATTATCAGAAAATCCAACCATTCCACCTCTAAGTAGAAACCCCCAAAAAGTGAAAGTCGGATCTTCAGGAGCAGTTTGTACACCCGCGTTCCCAGCAGCACTACTAACAAGAGCCAAAAGGTGGACGCCACTCAAATGTCCACCCATGAAGAACAGAGAAACAAAATGTGGAGCATCCTCCTAACAGACGGTCTTCCGCACTCAGTTTTCAAAAGGGAGGACATTCCGCCTCCTGCTGCAGTATGTGGCAGCCTTGAGGACATCATACAAATATCGCGTGATTCCGTTTCTCTGTCATCCTCAGAACATAAAATCCACAGACAGAAAGCAGAATCGAGGGTTCAGGGACTGGAGGAGGGAGACAGGGAGTGAAGGTGTCATAGGCACAGAGTTTCGGTTTTGCAGGATGAAAACAGTTCAGGGGACGGAGGGTGGTGAAGGATGTACGCCAGTGTCAACACCCCAAGCTTCCCGACTGGCCGCTTAAAATAATTAAAAAGGCAACATTGTATCCGATGAGTATTTTATCACGTTTAAAGATTTTGAAGAAATACAGACCCAGAGTTGGCGATCTTCCCTTTGGATGTTGCCCCGGGGTCAGGATCGGGATGGAAAATAAGCAGACTCCCAAATGGACTCACAAGGAGGTCCAAGTCCCGAGTCCCAGGTAGCTGCTTTGAACTCGGTGGGCTGTTTTCACCTGGGCAGCTCCAGTGACACCCTGCACTGAGGCAGACTTGAGTTTTCATTTCTTTTTCCATTAAACAGTAGCTAAAGATTGTCTTCAGCAATGTCAGGAAAGCCAGCCACCGACTCCTCATTGTGACCATCCTTGGGTGCCGGCCACACCCTCACTAAACACTCGATGTGCATTGCTTCAGCATTCAGTTGGCAAATACTTTCTTCGCCCCAGCTCTGGGTGTGACCCAGCGCCAGGTGTTGGGGAACTGACGGTATGAGCAGGATGCATGTGGCCCAGGTGCTTAAGGGAGGAGACCACTCACAGGCATGATGAAACATGATGTTAAGTACCTGGTCGAGTGGCACGCTGGATAATGTCCCCTCGTAGAGACTCTTTCCTAATCCTGCAACCTGTGAATGTAACCTCCTATGGCAAAGTCTTTGCAGATGTGATGAAGTTGGGAATTTTTTTTTTTTCATTACTTGGGATTGAACCCAGGGTGCTCTACCACCGAGCTACATTCCCAGCACTTTTAACTAAATTGCTGAGGTTGGCCTCAAACTTGCCATCCTCCTGTCTCGGCCTCCAGAGCCACTGGGACTTACAGGTGTGCACCAAAAATATTTTTTATTTCTTCTAATTAGTTACACATGACAGTAGCCTGGACAAATTAAGGATCTTGAGCTGGAGAGATAAGTCTAGATTACTCAGCTGAACTTAAATACAATCGCAAGTGTCCTTGTAAGAAAGAAGCTGAGTGAGATTTGTCACATAGAAAAGGAGAAGGCCAGGTGAAGAAGAGGCAGAAGTTGGTGTGACAGGGCCACAAGAAGCTGAGAAAGTGAGGACAGAATCTTCCCTAAAGCCTTCTAGGGGTGGGGATGTCTGCCCAGCTGACTGTCCAGCTTCTGACCTCCAGACTATGGGAGAATAGATATATGTTGTTTGAAGTCGCCCAGTTTGTGGTCATTTTTTGTTACAGCAGCCACAGAAAACTCATACACAGGGTAAGGGGATGAAGAACAACTCTTTTACACAAAATGGTCTAAGGGAGCCTCCCTGGGAAGGACATCTGGGCAGAGACCTGAGTGAAGTGAGGAACCTAAATTAAAGGGGGGGGGTTCTTGTAAAACGCATGCAATACATACATGTACACACACACGCCATTAACGAGTGAACATCTTGTCCTAATTCTGACTCCTTCAGTGGTCGACTATCTGGCCTGGGCCTCAGTTTCCCCATGTACACCCGGAGGTGATTGTAACAGATGATTTTTGGTTGAAACCATTGTGATCCTTCCTGCACACAACCCAGTGATGGTGGGGAGCCTATAGCATCATATGGGTTGGTCCAAGAGTTCTTGGGGGATGCAACCTACTCAGCCCACAGGGGGCCACATGCATCATCTCTGCCCCTTGGGCTCTCTGGCTCCCACCCCAGCCACCGTAATCAGCTCCTCAAGGCCTGAACTCCTGTGCTCTAACACCTTCCATGGCTCCAGTCTTCCCGCAGCCTGGCATCCATGGAAGCGCAGCCCTGCCCACCCTCCACTCCAGCCTCAAAGATCCCCTTTCCCAATCTTCTTTGGATCCCTCTTTCTTCATCCAACTTATGCATTTTGGGGCTCCCCGAGGCTACTCCTTCCCTCATTCTGGGAACATTTCCTGGGGATGTCAGTCCCTCCTGTGGCTTCAATGTCCTGGTCTCTGGGTCATTTCTATGTCTCAGTGTCCCACACGGAGTACCCTACAGCGGACTCAGCCACTGCCTGGATGTTCCCCTGAGGGCATGTCCCAGATTCACCTCAACTCCTCCCTCCCTCCTGTCCCCACATCCAAACTCCTGCCCAGTTCTGCCAGTTGTCTGCCCTGAGCTCTTTTCACATCCCGCCTTCTCCATCCCCATCATTCCAACTTGCACCAGGCCACCATTGGAAAGTAGCCTCCTAACAGTCTCCAGAATTCCTTCCTGCCCTCCAGGAGCATGCCATCCTCCACACAGCAGCAGAGGGGTCTTCCCCAAACGGAACCTCTCCTGCTCAAAATCCTGTCATGGCTTCCCATTATACGCTGAAAAAAAAAAATCAGACTCCTCATGGATCACAGCACTCTTCATGGGAGTGCTTCAGCCATAAAAAAGAAGGAAACATATAGTCAAATAAAATTTTGTGATTGGGTGTGCATGCACAATGTGTGTGTGTGTTGCTGGAGATGGAACCCAGGGCCTCATGCATGCCAGGCAAGGGCTCTGTTGCTGGGCTACATCTCCAGTTCTCAAGCAAATTCTTGTATACAAGAATCATCAAGAGATGAAAAATTCCAAGCACCCATCAACGATGAATGCATAAATAAAATATGGTATATCCATTCAGTGGGATATTATTCAGCCATAAAAAAGAATGAAATACTGATCCATGACACAACATGGATAAACCTGGAAAACATGATGCCGAGTGACAGAAGGTAGTCCCAAAAGACCACAAAGGGTATGATCCAATTTATATGAAATGACCAGTACAAGCAAATCCGTAGAGACAGAGAGCAGAGAAGCAGGTGCTTGGGGGGGGGGGTCAGGGCATGGATGCTAATGATGATGGAATCTTTTGGGGGATGAAAATGTTCTGGAACTAGACAGTGATGATGGTTGCACATCATTATGAGTAACCTAAATGCCACTGAACTATGCACTTTAAAATGGTTCATTTGTAATATTGTTAAAATGGCCACACTACCAGAAGCAACATACAGATTCAATGCAATCCCCATCAAAATACCAATGACATTCTTCACAGAGCTAGGAAAAAAAAAAACAGTCCTAAGATTCATTTGGAAGAACGAAAGATCCAGAATAGCCAAAGCAATTCGAAGCCAAAAAAGCAATGCTGGAGGCATCATAACCCCTGACTTCAAATTATACTACAGAGCTATCCTAACAAAAACTGCATGGTACCAGTATAAAAACAGACACAGAGATCAATGGTCAACAATAGAACACACAGAGAAAAACCCACTCACATACAGTCATCTGATACTTGACAAAGGTGTCAAAAACACAGATTGGAGAAAAGACAGCCTTTTTAACAAGTGTGCTCATAAAACTGGTTATCCAATGTAGAAGAATGAGACTAGACTCTTATCTCTCATCCTTTGATCAAAATGGATCAAAGACCTCAGAATTAGAACAGAAACTATGAAACCCCTAGAAGAAAATGTAGGGTTAAAAAAGAGAGAGAGAGAGAATCTGGTTCAGTGGCACATGCCTGCAATCCCAGTGGGTCAGGAGGCTGAGGCAGGAGGATCTCGAGTTCAAAGCCAGCCTCAGCAAAAGCAAGGCACTAAGCAACTCAGTGAGACCCTCTCTCTAAAAAAAGAATACAAAATAGGGCTGGGGATGTGGCTCAGTGGTTAAGAACCCCTGGGTTCAATTCCTGGTACCCCAAAAAATAAAAATAAAGAAAATGTAGGGTCAACTCTAACCTGTAAGCACAGGCCACAAGTGTCTCAATAGGACCCTAAAGCTCAGGAGAAAATGCTAAGAATTAATTAATGGGGTGGCATCCAATTAAAAAGCTGCAGAGTAAAGAAATAAATTAAGAATGTCAAGAGAGAGCCTATAGAATGGGAGAAAATCTGCTAGCTAAGCTACTCTTCTGACAGAGGATTAATATCCAGAATATATAAAGAACTCAAAAAAGCTTAATATCAAAAAAACCCATTATTAATTGATGGGCAAATGAATTAAACAGACACTTCTCAAAATGAGAAATACAAATGGCCAACAAATAAATTTTTTTAAAATGTTCTACATTATTAGCAATTAGAGAAATGCAAATCAAAACTGCACTGATATTTCATCTCATTCCAGTCAGAATGGCAGCCACCAGCAATATGAACAAAATACCTGCTGGAGAGGATGTGGAGGAAAAGGAACCCTTTTTATACTGTTGGTGGGACTGCAAATTGGTATCATCACTACGGAAATCAGTATGGAGGTTTCTCAAAAACCTAGGAATGGAACCACCATATGACCCAGCTGTACCACTCCTTGGTATTTATCCTGAAGAATTAAAGTCATCTGACTGCAGTGACCCATGCTCATACCATGTTTAGAGCAGCACAATTCACAATAGCCAAGATAGGGAACCAGCCCAGGTGCCCATCCATGGGTAAATACATAAGGAAAATGTGATAGATATGCACAATGGAGTTTAGTTCAGCCTTAAAAAGGATGAAATTATGTCATCTGCAGGAAAACGGATGAAACTCGAGAACATTATGTTAAACGAAATAAACCGAAATCAGAAATTCAAGGCTTGTATGTTTTCTCTCATATGCGGAAGCTAGAGAGGAAAAGAAAGTGGGGGGGGGGGGTGGGTTTATCCATGAAAATGGAAGGGAGATCAGTAGAGGAAAGGGCCCAGGGAGAGGGAAGACGGAAGGGAAAGGGAAATGCTGTGAATGACTATGGACGGATTATGTTGTTATGTTGTGTGCATGTATGAATACGGAACAACAAATCCCGCCATTATGAGCAATCAGCATGCACCTATTGGTGTAGAAAATAATAAAATGACTAATTCAGAGGCTGAGGGTGCTACTCAATGCTGGAGCATGTGCTTAGCACACACAAGGCCCTGGGTTCCATTCCCAGCACCAAAGAAAGAAAAAGAAAAAAAATGTTGTATATAACTTTTTAAAAACACTTTGAGAAATTGATCGTGGTCGCTGTTTCTGAAAGGGTCCTGGAAGAACTAGAGACAGGAGTGGAGAAGAAACCTAATTCAGTCTCCACCTTTCCAACTTCTAAACCATGTAACCCATTCAAAAGTGTTATCGCAGCTGGGCCCTGTGGTGCACACCTGTAATATCAGCTACTTGGGAGACTGAGGCAGGAGGATTGCAAGTTTGAGGCCAGCCTCTGTAACTGACGGAGACTCTGTCTCAAATAAAAAAAGAAAAGGAGGGGGGCCTGGGGGTTGAGCTCAGTGACCGAACACCCCAGGGTTCAATCCCTAGTGCCACACACACACAAAAAAAGTGTTGTAATTGATTACAAAAATTTATTTGTAGACTGCACAACACAAAGTGTGAATTTTAATGTGAACTCAGGAGTTTAGTTAATAACCATGTGTTGACATGGGTTCATTAATTATTACAACTGCATAGCATTAATAGGATGTCAACAATAGGGGATCTACCGGGGAGAAGAGTGGGCACGTGGGGACTGTACTTTCACTGAAACCTTTTTATAAGCCTAAAACCTCTCCAAAAACAGGGTCTTTAAAAATAGTTTATGCCAGGGGTGAAGCTCAATGGTAAAGTCCCAAGTTCAAACCTAGCTCTGCCCCTCCCCAGACGAGCCACCTGGGTGGAGCTGAGCCCTGTCCCTCTGCCCTCCTCTGCCAATCTGTGCAATGAGTTAGTAATAACAGGACCTGCCTCTCGGGCTGTTGGGGAGGGGTCAGTGAGTCCAGGCATGGAAAGGCCTGGTCACAACCACTATGGCTCTTCCTGTGGCTACTGCTGTATAAAAGTGGAAGAGATTCAAAACTGTCACCACAGAATGCTATGGGCGGCTGGTATGCCCATTCTCTCTCTAAGCCAGTCCTTAATATCCTCCCTGATGCCAAGCAAGGCACCCAGCAGCCCCGCCCTGGCAGAGCTGGTCCCACCCACCTCGCTGGGGCCAGCCTCATCTGGCAGTGGAGACTGGCCCTGCAGCACAGCCCACGCCCACGGCGCTCTGGTTTGTCAGGTTGGCCCAGCCAGCCACCCGGTGGGGACTTGTTATACAAGGTGTGTGGGCTCCCTTCTCGGGAGAGAAGGAATGCAGGATTTGGACCACGGCTAGTACCGGGCACCACACACATGGCCCTTCTTGAATGGCAGGTGTCGGCCCATGGCCTGGCATCCCATAGTTGGCCGGCCCCCTCACCCCACATCCTGGCCTGTAGTCAAGGCAGTCTGTCTCCTTTCTGGACTCCTGGTACCCTCCTTGACTCTCTCAACACCAAAGGGCTGCCTTGCCCAGAGACTCCTATCCCCGCAGAGTACCAAGCTCCAAAAGGTCCTAACTGAAGGGGTTGGTTCTAGGTCTGGGTGCTCTACACTAAGCACCTCAAATTTCTGGGGTGATGAGACAGAGCTTCAGGGTCGACTATGACTAATAAAGACAGAACCAAGTCACCCAATGAGATGGGGAGAGTCTCACTGAAGCTTGGAAACCTGCAGCTTCTTTGGGCCAAAGGAAATCATGGCAGAAAAAGTTTTAAAACTCCCTGTAATCTAGCTGGTTCTTGAGATGTAATTGTTTCTGTGTGTCATCCCACGTGTGGCCACACCTGGACAAGAGCTTTATAAGTTTCAAATTCTATAAAGCTCTACCCTTAGCTGTGTGGCCTCAGGCAGCTCTCTGCACCTCTCTGAGCCTCGATTTCTTCATCTGTAAGACAGGAACCATATTTCCTCATCTCATGACTGTGATGACATGTCATAGCTGTTGGCGTTGCCATCCTATTCATTATGGTTACCTGGCCATCTGGGATTTGGAGAATCCAAGGTTTCTCGTGGAGGGGAGGGAGGAGGTGGAGTCCCATTTTCTGAATGTCTGCCTGGTCATCCAAGCCCCTCTACGGATATCAACCCAGATCACCGCCAAGACACCAGTCCAGAGCTAATGTTACTGCTCGGAAACCCAAGCTGGGTTATAAAGAGACACTGGGGCCATCAGAAAGTGGCCCAGGATTTGGGGGTCAGACAGGGCTTGTTTTGTTCAAATCCCAGCTCCCCCACTGAGTGTCAAGGGGCACACACTCCTCCTCTCTGGCCTTCAGTGTCCTCACCTATAAAATGAGGGTGGTAGGGAAGAGGGGAATTTCCTCCTCTTCAGGGCCGGCCAGAAGCTTAGAAGTACTTAAGGAGGAGTTTGATGTCGCCAGCTCTGGTGGATAGGCTCCCATCCAGGAGCCAGAAATGGGGGAAAGGGAGGAGTTCAGGAAAGAGAGCTTCACCCATGGGGTGGTGAGCGCTGCGTTCTGAGTGCGTGCAAGGTGAGTGGGCAGACAGACCAGATGGGGTGCCGGAGCTCAGGAACCTCCAGCCAGCCCACATGGAGGCCAGAGGAAGCCTCCTTTTAAAAAAAAAAAAAAAAAAATCTCATTCTCTTCCTTCTTGTCTCCCTCTCACCTCCAGCCTGAGATTCCACAGGTGGTGGCCCTCCAGTGGCTTTGCAAGGTCCACACTGGCCAGACACCCAGGGGAATGAATCAGACCCCTGGGACACCAGATAGCATCTATCAGACAAATGTCACCCAGACCAATTGCAGGCTCTCACACAACCCTCCCCGGCGACTCTGGTGGCCTGGAAGGAGACCTTATCACAGAAGGGTACTCGGAGCCTCTGTGTCTACCAAGGACGGGGAGGGGGTCCCGGGTGGTTGTCGGACCACCGGAGTACACCCCTTCCGCAGGACGTATGGCCTCCCGCTCAAGACGACACCCAGTGGCGAAATGTCAGGGACTTCGGCCAGCCCCCAGGAGGGTCACAGCTCAGAGCTTGAGCCCATTTGGGATGTCCCGGCCAGGAAAGGTCCCTGTCTCCATCATGCACACTCAGAAAAATACACCAGGATTCCGAGAGCGCGCGGGGCGGGGGCGACCCGTACACTCCCCTGGTGTCCTGGACACGCAGCCGGGTCCGAGGTCCCCGTGGTCCCCGAGGCCGGCTGCTCGCTGCCTGCCGCCCCGGGCGCACACACCTGGCACCCGCCCCGCGCGCCCCGAACCCCGCGAGCCTCAGGTCACGGCCCGGCGCGCTCCGGTTACAGCCCCGACCCCGGCCCACTCACCCTCGGGTCTCGGCCTCCCGCCTGGATGTGGATCTGCGGGCGCCGCCACCTCGGCCTGGACCGCGCTGCCCCAGACCCAGCCCTTTAACCCCGCCCGGCGAGGCCTGGGGTTCCGCCCGGGACACGCCCCCGGACCCGCCCCCGACGGCCCCACCCGGGTCCAGGCGGCCTCTGGGCGGGGACGGCAGCGCGGCCCCCGGAGATGGGGCGAACTGGAGACGGAGCCGCGGAGGCGTGGAGACAGACAGACAGGAAGGGAAACTGAGGCCGCGATGAATCAGGGACGGATGGAGACAGGGAGAAGGAGACTCGAAGACTTGGGCACCTAGAAGTCCCAAACCAGCGGACTCCCCACCCTCCTACCCCTGCTGGGCTCCCATTAGTGCCCCCTTCCCCTTCTGGACCGCCCCCTCCCACTCCAGCGTCTCTGAAGGCCCTCACCTCAAGGCTGGCTCCCAAACTCGGACCGGGCCCCCAAGCCATCCCCTCTGAGCCCCTACTAGCCCCCTGGGGGCCCTCAGGAATTCTCAGACTCCACCAGCCCTTGGGAACCAACCCTTCTGTCCTCTCGGGGTCCTGGGTCCAACTTGCCCCTCTGGGGTTCTGCAGCCAGCAGCAGCTGTCCCTCCTGGAAGACCCCTGGCCTCGACCAGCAGCACTTGACCAGTTCTGCTCCCCCACCCCCAACCTTCCCTGCCCACAGCCAGACCCCATGACCCTTCTGCCAGGATGTTGTCCTTGGCCAGCCCTTCTGCTCCAGGTGTGTCCAGTCAACACTGCCCTTGGATGTGAGAGGCAGATACGGCTCCTGGGTCGGTGGGTGGGTAGGTGTCTGACACTTGGGCAAGTGGGCAGACAGATGGGAAGACAAGTGTGAGAAGCTACAACTCCACCCGCCCCGACTTAGAACATTCCTCTAGCACTTTGCTTTTCAGTAATGCTGCTTCACTTGGCGCTTGGCCCTTGGGAAATGGGGGGATCGCGGTGAACGTGTTTCCAAATGAAGAAGAGGAGATACAAATAATTGAAGCTTGGCTGCTTAGAGGACGCAGACGTGAAGGATGTGACATTTGAGCTGAGACTGCAGGGAGAGGTTGGATTTCAACAGGTGCAGGAGAGGGGGCGGGGCTCAGGTGGGGAGAAACTGGAAGGTGTGGCTTGGCAGGTGGCTTTCCCTGGCCTTGGGGTGTGAGAGGTGAGGAAGCTGAAGGGGCACAGGAGCTGGCTGCCAAGGGCTTTAACGGCCACCCTAAGTAGCTGGGACAATAGGGAGCCGTGCATGCTGCTTGAGCAGGGCAAGAGCCTCCTGTTGACTAGTTTTAATTCACAGTAGAAGGTTTTATTTTTATTTTTTTTTCAGGGTTGGGGATTTGGTTTTGCCAATGGTGCTGGCAAAGAGGAGCTCATTAGGGACACTGGAAAAGACTGAAATTTGAGAATTTGAGAGGGATCCTGGAGGTGGCTGAGGGGGACACGGATAAAGGGTGGGATGGTTGAGACCTAGGAAGGGCTGAGCGGAAGCCCAGATCCTCAGCCACTTTGATCACTGGCTGGATGTGGAACTCTAAGAAGTGGAGAAGGAGAGGAAAAGAGGGGTTCTCCAGTTTCTCTGCTGTTAGAAAGACGGAGATCGGGAAGAGGAATGAGTCAAAGAGGCTGGTGATAAGAAGCATTGACAGTTGGCTTCCCTGCTCTGTGTCCTAGGGGAAGTCACAGGTCTGCTCCATCCCTCTCCAGATGAAATGGAGGTTACAGATGAAATGGATCATGAGTTGAGGTGGTGTTGGCATTGGTGAGGGCATGAGCTGTATAAATATCAGCTCTTTGAGTTTGGGGTCTGATTTGGGTTAGCCTAGGAATTCTCAACTAAAGCAGGTTTGGGCAGTGTCCAGTGATACTTTTGTCACACTGGGGAAGGAAGGGGGGGTGTCTACTGGCACGGAGTCAATACAGGCTGTAGATGCTGTTCAACATCCTGCAACACACAGAATGGCCTCACAACAGAGAGTGATCCAGCCCCAAGTGTCAACAGTGCTGAGGTTGGGAAACCCTGGGCAGGTCACCTCCAGTCTAAAAGGCCTGTGGGATGCTCAGGGAGTCACCTAGGAGGCAGCTGGGCCCGTCATGTGAGGACACAGCAGAGGAGTGTCTCTGAGTCACCTACTGTGGAAAGATGGCAGATCATTGGAAAGACGGGAGTGGGTAAATGAGGCCACTCAGGGAGGGAGGTGGACAGTTCAGAAGAGGATGAGAAGATGGGATTGTTGGTGACAGCAGCCTCTGGAGAGAGGACAGGCAGAGGCGAGGAGCTGGAGGTGGAGATTAGGGAAAGGTGATAATAGGTACCATCACATGTACCCAGAGGTCAAGGAGCCCCGGACCTAGGAAGGAATGGAACTGCGTGGTGACCAGGTCACCAAAGTCATCAGAAGCAGAAGCAGTGGTTAGGCTTGGGAGGGACAGTGCAGCTGCTGGGGAAAACAATTTGGCAGTTTCTCAAAAAGCTAAACCTAGGGCTGGGGCTGGGGCTTGGCGGTCCAGTGCTTGCCTAGCATGTGTGAGGCACTGGCTTCGATCCTCAGTGCCACATAAAGTAATAAAAGAAAGGTACTGTGTCCATCTACAACTATCAAAAAAAATTTTAAGTTAAAATTACCATCTGACTCAGAAATTCTACTCCTGGGTATAAACTAAAAAAAAATAAAATGAGAAAGCAAGGACACATATCCATACATACACTTGTCTGGGAATTCTCACAGCAACACCGTGTATGAGAGCTGAAAGGTGGAAATGACCCAAGTGTCCATCAACAGATGGGTGGATGGATAAATGAAAGTCGTCCATCCATACAATGGAATAATACTCAGTCATAAAAAAGAATGAGGTTTGGATGCATGCCACCATGTAGAAACCCCAGGACATTGTGCCAAGTGAGAGGAGCCAGACACAAAAGGTCATACTTGGTATGATTCCACTTACATGAAGTATCCAGATCCTAAATTAAAGGAGACAGAAATAGCATAATGGTTGCCAGAGGTCTGGGGGGAGGAGGAACAAGGAGTGAAGCCCAGTCCAGGGGTAATGGTTGTGGATCTCTTTTGGAGGTAACTAGATAGAGATGATGGGTGTACATTGTGAATGCACTAAATGCCACACAGATGCCACCTGGGACCATTTTTGCCAAACCCACCAAGACCATCTCTCCTACCGCTAAGCCTTTGCACTTGCTGTACCCTCTGCTGGAATTATCTTCCTCTCACCCACTCAACTAACCCCTGCTTATCCTCCAGGTCTCCGCTCAAAGGCCATTTTCTCTGAGGGCTTCCCCAACCACTGGACTCAGTTCAGGCCCAGATTCAGTTCCAGAAAAAAATTGCTATTGGAATGTTTTATTTATGAACTCTCCAGATGGGGTCCACTGTCTCGGGTGGACAGTGTTTTTCTCTTTCTGTGCCTTTTCCCCAGCCCCAGCTGGTGCACCAGGTAGATTCATTCAACAAACGCCAAGTTCCCACAGAATGCCAGGCACTGATCTACAGTAAACAAGCAGAAACACATCATCTAAAAGCGTGTGAAACGTGCTACGGAGCAAAACCCAAAGTGGGAGGAGAGGAGGGTACAGAGATCACAGGATAGACTGTGTAGGGCCTTGTGGGCTACAGGGAGGACTTGGATTCTATTACTCAGGAAGGCAAGAGCCACAGAGGGTTCTATGCAGAGGAGAGGTGTGGCCTGACTTAGGTTTTAACAGGCTCTCTCTGGCTGCAATACTATGAATAGAACCGAAGGGGGAGCAAGAGGCCCCCAGCACTCAGCACTGGAGAGACTGAGAGCCGGGAATAGGGCAAAATTGGGGGTTCGTTATAAAGGGAGAACTGATTGGATATGCCGATATGCTGGATGCAGGCAGGAGAGAACCGGAAGAATCACAGTAATCCCCGGGGGTTTGGGCCTGGGGGATATTTAGGCTGGAGTTTTCAATAGAGTGAACAGGAGAAAAGCAGGGAGCCGAGGAGGAAAGGGTAGAGAGAAAGGCTAACAGGTAGAGAGGGGTTCAGGGGGGAACAGGGAGCACTCGGGAGGGAGTAAAGACCCAGGTGGGTGCAGGGGGAGGCTTTGGGGCCAGAGGGAGGAGAGGTACCCTATCTTCAGGAACCACTAAGAACTTGTTCCCTTAAAAGGAGGTGAGTGGGTGAGGCTCGGCTGCCAGGGAGGTTTAGGAGCTGGGGTATTGAGGTGAAAGCACCTCTCCTCTGTCGTGGGGGCAGGGCAAGAAAGGACACCTCTCCCACCTGAGCCAGAAACCTAATGGCTGGGTCACTCTGGAAGAGGTGCAATGGGGGAATGGAGAAAAAGACACCTTCTCACGTAGGTAGGTGTGTCTTCTCGCGTAGGTAGGTGTGTCTTCTTACGTAGGTAGGTGTGTCTAGGAAGGTGTCCTCTCTGGCCTTTGCCCAGAGTGACCCAGCCCCTGCCCTCCTCCACATACACCTGCCTCCTTTCCCCATAGTCCACAGGGACTAACCTCCACCTCCCAGCGACACACATAGGACTTGCAAAGAAGATAAATGACACTTCTGAAACCACAGATAGCTCATTCTCCCGTTCCTCTCCTCCCTCACTTCTTTCCCGACCTTCACCCTCCAACCCCCGCCCCAGGCTACTCTATCCCTCAGCCAATCAAACGCCAATCTCCTTTTTCTCATCCAATTAGATGCTGCCCCCAGACTCCCATTCAATTAAACGCTGAGCTCCTCCCTCTTAGCCAATCAGGTGCTGTTCTCTTTCCCTTCAGCCAATTGGACACTTGCCTGCTTTGCAGCCAATTAAACCTCCCCTTTCTGCTCGCTGGCCAATGAAACTACTCTCCTAACTCTCACCTAATCAGAGTCTCGCTCTGACGTCCCAGCCAATCAGAATTTTCCTTCCTGTTCACTTAACCAACGACTTCCACATTATCGTCCTTCAGCCAATCAGGTTTGACTTATACCCACCTCAACCTATTAGAAAACCCCTCCTGGGCTAAGGGTGTAGCTCAAAGGTAGAGCACTCGCTTAGCCTGTGTGAAGCCCTGGGT